TTCGTCTCACCTCACCATCCAGTCCAATCTGATTGTAATGCTCATAATTAGTCGATGCGAGACTTGCATAAGAATGGAGGATGAGTGAGGCTGAAACAGGAGTGTGTTATGATGTACGCCTACCTTGTAAGACCAAGTATAATTGGACAAATCCAAAGTGGTATTTTCTCCAATCAATTTTACAGGTCCACCAACAATTCCTGTTGGCGCCAGATCATAATATGCACCATAGTTCTGTTTAACATGATAACAATCATCAGCTACAGTCTTTACAGCAGATGTAATCTAACTTCTGGAGATACGAATCAGAGCAAACCTGAAGGCCAACAGTTGCACTTAGCAATGATATCACATTTCGGCCAGGATTAAACCATACTTTTCGCTCGAAAGTGAAGTTAAGCTGTCCAGCCAGGCCATATTGAGAACCTATTCATTGATCCAACCTCCAAGTGTTACTAAAATACTTCTGTTCGAAGTAGAGAAGAATGTCTGAAAACCTAGCTATGCTATCGATACTACCTACTAGCCTGTCATTAACAAAGGCATGGAGGATGTGGCCGGTGGTGTTGACACTGAGAGTAAATTCTTCCTTCTCGCCCACATCCACACTGGACGTTGTTCGTTACATTCAACGGTTAACGGTCTGTCTTGCTAAATTGTATGCGTGCTTTGATTATTATTTCAAGAAAATACTTGCCTGGTTGTGTACCATAAGTAGTCACTTTCATCAAGAGTGACGCTTTTCTGCTCTAAGAGATTGTTAACGGTGAATGTACTGCCAAAACCTTTTGCAGAGATTCCCAGTCTCTCTGGTCTCCAAGACCAATACAAGACTTCAGATGCTTCCATGGCAGTGTTTCGCTTCTTCACCATGAGAGAAGTCTGAGTCTTTACCTATAAGAAGAACGGGTAAAACAGGAAGTTAAATGGATCAGCAGAAAGCAGGCAAAAGGTTGTGTAGAAGTGGCAGTAATTACCTTGGCAGTGTTATATACTTCGCTCTTGCAGTCAGGAAGAATGCTGACAGACCAAGCAGGCAGGAAATATGTACTTCCCTCATAGTCTATGGTGGCATTTAAGTTGCTGTTCTGATTACTCAAGAAACAAGCAGGATTGACTCCATCACCAGAGTATTTGGTGATCTGCAATGACCACAGCATCATCACATCATGCTCCCACCCTTAGATCAAAAGATAAATTCATATCCGAAATCATCGATACCGTCAATTCATTGTCAAGATTAACTTCTTCGACTTCTCCATAGGTGAGGGCCTTCTCCATTAGCTTAATGGATGCATGCAACTCCTTCAAATGCCCCCACTTTGGTTGCCTTGTGTAACCTAAAGATACATTCATGATCAGAGCATTTCCATGTTTTCCCGGGATCTATAAACTCAATGATCAGAGGAGTACACAGACATACCGTACTCATCGAGTGGAGCATCATAATCGTAGCTTGTGACAATGTAAGGGCCACCTGAGGTTCTGCCAAAGTTGGTTCCTCCATGATACTAAGAATGAGCAATTAATCATCCATTGGATCTTGGTCTTGAACATAACAATATACGCGACGCAGAGAAATCTAACCAACCATATAGTAGTTTTGCAGTGTCCCTTTGGTTTGGAAAAAGCGAGCTACTTGAAATGCCAGTTCTTCGGCAGGCCTGTGTGGATCCGGAGAGCCCCAGTTCTTGAACCTGCAATCATCATTGCGGCATATCATCGAGCAGAAGAGTGAAAACCAAACAAGTGAAAGATGGTCACTCTATGCTCATCAACAACAGAAAAATGAAGGATCAAAACACACCAGCCAGTCCAATTCTCTGTCCATATCTTCGGACTGTTCTCGTTGTTGGGTGTAAAAGCATCACAGCCGGAAAACCCGTTGCAAGTATTGATCTAAGTTCGATGCATCAGAATCAAGGTTTCTTCTCATCAAGAGACAAGAAACATGAACAACATCATCAAACTAGGTTTCGATGAATTTACTACCATCGGCTGGGGAGCATCAGCTTGTTGGCACATGATCCATGGCACATCGATGCTTAGAGAATCTGCCATTTGCGAGCACCAATTGACGTATCGCGGCCCGGCATCGCCGTAGCTGGTCTCGACGTTGCCAAATTCATTTTCGATCTATTTGGATCAAAAATATTAATTAGAGATGGAAGAAAAAACAATCTCAACTTCTCAAGTGCAATCTGAGCACAGAAGATTTTCTTGTACCTGAGCTAAGATGATGGGTCCTCCTTGCGTTGCAAAGAGTCCTGCTTGCTTAACCATGTCTACTATTAAGGTAGTAAAATTTTGCATCTCATCCTTCATTGTCGAGAGTGATTTCAGACAGATGAGCTTATTCACAAAGTAGGTGAGTCTAAAGACACATAATTCAAGTTACAAACTCTGACCTTCCACGGCTGGTTATCTGTCCTCAGTTCTATGTCTGGGATTTGTCTCAACCAGACAGGAAGTCCTCTTGAAAACATAAAAGTAAAATTAAAACGGCAAATAAAAATCAATATAATGATCAATGTTTTATGACTTTAATTCTTGTTACATACCCATAATTCCACTCGGCACAAACATACGGACCGATCCGAAGGATGGCATACAGTCCAGCATTATGAACTTCTTTGAGAAACCTAATGAGATCGTAGTTGCCTCCAAAGTAGTACTAAAGAAGAAGAAACGAAAAGAACGATCAAGTACTATACTCCACACTTCATACATGTAAACACAATTGGTAAACCACAACCTCACGTCGCCTGGGCTCATGGCCATTCCAGAAAACATACGTCTCGATTGCATCAAGCCCTCCTTCTTTTGATTTCTGTACCAAGTCCGGCCACATCTGGAGAACAAGACGAACTCGATCAAGTACGAGCGTGAAATGTATCTGTTTAATGCTGTAATTGTCATCGTTGAAGATGCTAACCTCAGGAGTACTGCGCGGATAGTGGATGGCGCCGGTGAAGAGAATCCGACGTTGGCCGTCGATGACCAGAGCTCGTCCATCGTGAGAGACCGTCGTCGAACGAGCAATGCAACAAAGAGAAGAAGCGATCAACAAGAAGAACAAGTATTTGGAGGCCTCCATCTTCCTTCTCTACGTAGACAGTGAATTGTGAAGCCCATATATATATGCACCCACAATCCTTATCCTTTGTTCTTATCATTATTACACGGACAATTATGGGAAAAGCTAAAAGAGGTTAAAATCCAGACTATAACTTTCCAACTAGCTGGATGATAAAACTTAAAAGGAGAATCGCCGAAGATCTTTTGACGTATTACTTAGGGATGTAATCAAGAAGAAATCGGATTTTTCATTCCTATATCCGGATTCATTGCATGTCTAATGATCCGTTTCTTAGATCTGTGGATTGGGCTTCATTTTTCCATGTTAAGGTTCAGATGGCTATACTATAAGCTGTGCTCGCATGGAAGATATCAAATCATTATCTTATATTTTAAGACAAAAGGTTCACGAATGTAAATTTATTTATTCTCGTTTCTTGATGTGTAGATACAGATTTTATGATACACGTCTCCTCGATACCTGAACCCGTTTTCGACCCAACTCGATTTGCAACCTGAACCACATCTGGCTTAAGATCAATAATTTAATGTGATATCAGATGACAAAGATCGTTATTGTGGTTTCATGTGAACAATTAGATCTGTGGATTGTTGTGCAGGCTTTTACTGCAGACGATAAACAACAATGTCCAGATAATGTTAAGCTGAGTAAGAAGAGCAGGGATTTCTGCAGACTGCACAATACAGCGTTGTTGGAAGAACAGAAACATCTGAACATTTGTTATCATTCTTTTCCCGTTCTTCATGTGCAGTTTTGTTCTACAGTTCGAATTACAAATGGCCTCTTGACTACAGCTAGAAACATTCTCAAAGTCATGGCAGAAGAAAAAGACTCGGTTGGATGGTTTGTGCGGCATACTTTTGTCCTATGGCAACGTGAAACCAACCAATTTGTCTTCAAGAACGTGAGCTTTTCAAAGCCAGAAAACTGTCACTCCTTGCTGACAAAGAAAGGGAGCTACTGGACAAGAAAAGATTGGATGTTCCTCTCAATCATAGAGTTAATTAGATCCGATTGAACTGAGTCAAACTGAGCTAGGAATTCAATATGATATAGTAGTCCAATTGCACCCAACTTTCTGTGGATGGAACAATACAAAACAAGAGTTCCATGCACCCTTCTTCGTTGACTACGTAACAAGATCTGTGAATCCTTCAACTCTGATTGCATGGAGGACATCACCTCCTAGTCATGACTGATTCCAAACATTTCAGTCCCTTGTTTGAGAATTGCTGCGATACTGCCATTGACTAGCAACTCACATAGAACAAAATGTCAGAGGCCAGGGTTTGAAGCAAAGGAATCGCCAAAAGATAAGTCTATGAATCTTTTCTTTATTTCTAACTCGAAAGTACATAAATCATACTCCTTTCCAGTTGTGTTTAGGCCCCCCCAAAAAAAAAGTAAGCCATCAGAGTCTGACTCACAACCAAATAGTCAAATCAGGAAACCGAAAAACCAGCTAATGGATAACAAGCTAAGCTACCCTCCACCATAAAGTCCAATCATATAAGTCAAGCCGTGAGATTGACTTGTAACTTGTATTTATTGGACAATACTGTCTACGGAGCGAGTTTAAAATTGAAGAGCAGGTATGTAGTGAGATAAACATGCATTTGCGCCCAAACAAACAAGTGATGCTGATTTGGATGGAGCACATCTCAATCTTCAACCAATAAGATTATGACACCAAATACATCCGTTCAGACGAGAGTTAGAGAGAGTTTGTTCCCTTTTTCTTTGGGCCTCTCTTGTGCAAGTGGATGGTGTATGTGGCAAGTCGTCATTGGTGATCTAGTGGGACCCTATCACCGGAAGTCAAAATGCAGTAAAAACGGGAGCTGAGATCAGGTTGACCAACAGCTACATGCTGTGTTCTGAGACAATATATAAAGCCTGGATGATTTATCGTGTACAGATCATTGACTTGACACACAAGGAAACGGTCGGTCTAATCCGCAGTGGAAATTGTTGACCTGACGAACCCGTTGATGCCCAATCGAGTCGCGTCACCTTCTATTTAAACTCATTGGATTCAATTTCGGCATGATCGAGTCGAGTCAGACCAACTCTCACCGGCCGGCAAGACCGGATCCAAATATAGATTTCATGAACTTATCAGAATTCAACTTTTCATACATATAATTTTCATTTTATTTAGAAAATTAATTAATGTATGTAATTATTTGTATTTTTATAAATTATAGGATAAGACAAATATGTCGTCGTATAAATTAATATAAATTATAAATAAGATGGGATTTTTGAATGATGGAATGATAATACTAATAATAATAATAATAAGTGCCTCGGATTCACCGCAAATGCAGTTGTAGTGCAGAAATAGACAAGTGGTAAAATGTGATTTCTGGGGCAACTCGTTGACCGTTGACTCTTCTACCCGGCAGCGTAACGAGCCGGCAACTTCCGCTTACTTCCGATCACCGTCCCTGCCCGATACCGCCAAATGCCCACCTCCATTACAAGGCAGCTTCTTCTCCTTCCTCTCTGACCACCCATTTCAATTAATTTATAAAAATTAGATAACTATGAAAGATATTCTCATTGCAAACCATTTCTTCGATTGTAAAGGTTCCAGAAAGCGGAAGGCGACATATGATATTAAAGGAAGACCAAAATGAGGCGATGCAGGGGTTGAAAGTGAAGGATGGGGAAGTCAAAGCCAAACTGAGTTCTCTCTCTCCTGCTCTTCTCCTTTCTCTTCTCTAGCCATTTATGCCCGCAAATCGAGATGAACTAAGGTGGATGTGTAGCTTGGTGGATGTGAATCGGCTGCTTCGACTCCTGCCATTGCTTCTCAAGCATGAAGGTGCCTCCTTTCTTGGTTAACTGAGGACAAAACCTATTGATGCTTCTGTTGCCCCTGCAAGAGGATTCTTGGCTTTTCTGGATTGCACTGCTCTTGGGACAACCGAAAGTTTTCACTTTCTGTAGCTGTAGCTTCCAAGGAAGAGCCGCTTTTAACACTGTCGACAACTCGAGTCCGGCTCTAGCCATCATATGTTATGGGGAAGATAGGGGATGTTTCTGTCAATATTTTGATGAAAAGATTAAGCTTTGCGTGCTTGCTCCTCTTTATCCGACCTCTTCGCTCCAATTCCCAGAACCAGAGCTGCATCTCTGGTGATTTAAATGCCCTGCAAGGCTTCTCGAGAGGACTGGATTCAGGCATACCAGGTTGGAGCATGAATGCCTCTGCTTCCGGTTGCTGCAGCTGGGATGGCGTTTCCTGCGACGACTCGGTAGGCTCAGGACGAAGGGTGATCGGGCTGGATCTCCAAAATAAGAGCTTGAAGGGATCCTTAGATGATTCTTTGGCAGATTTGGAATACCTATCATGGCTTAACCTTTCTTCTAATTCTCTTCAAGGCACAGTTCCATCAGGGTTATTTCGTCTTCGCCAATTGAAGCGCCTCGATCTCAGCATGAATAGACTCTCCGGACCAATTCCGATGGATTCGTACCTTCCGTCACTTGAGGTTCTCAATGTTTCTCATAATGCTTTCACAGGCAGCCATCCGATTCTTGCCGGGTCGACGAAGTTGGTGGTGTTTGATATCAGCTCAAATAAGTTTTCTGGTGGCGTCGACACATCCGTATGTAATTTTTCATCTGGAATTCAAGTCCTTCGGTTATTGGCGAACTCCTTCTCTGGTGACCTTCCTGTTGGATTCGGTAGCTGTGCTTCCCTCGAAGAGCTCTCTGTTGATTCCAATGATATCTCCGGGAATCTGCCGAATGATTTGTTCGAGCTGTCATCTTTGAGGAGACTATACCTACAGGAGAATCAGCTGTCTGGCTGGCTGAGCTCAAGAATAGGTAATCTCTCTAACCTTGAGCAACTGGATCTTTCATTTAATTCTTTCTCAGGCGACATTCCAAATAGCTTCAGCAGCTTAAGAAATCTCAAGTATTTGTCCCTTCAATCCAATAGTTTCAGTGGCCAGATGCCTTACTCCTTGTCAAACTTACCGCCACTTAGAGTGCTCAACCTGAAGAACAATTCGCTTAGTGGTGGAATCACTTTGAATTGCACGGTGATGAATCATCTTAGCTCGCTTGATCTTAGCTCAAATGACTTCAGTGGCCCCATTCCTTATAATCTTTCTCAGTGTGTGGAATTAAAGACCTTGAATCTTGCTCGGAACAACCTGAGTGGTGAAGTTCCGATCAGCTTCAAGAAACTGGCTTCATTAACTTACCTCTCACTTTCCAGTAATAGCTTATCCAACATATCGTCCGCATTGATAATCCTACAGGATGTCCAAAGCCTCACCGGTTTGGCACTCACAAGGAACTTCCTTGGTAGCGAGAGAATTCCAATGGATGGAATTCAGGGATTTCAAAACATACAGCTTCTCGCTATTGCAAGCTGTGGCCTTTTCGGATCCATTCCACCATGGTTGTCAAATTTTACCAAATTAAATGTACTGGATTTGTCATGGAATCATTTGGAAGGGACCATCCCTTCATGGATAGGGTATCTTGATCATCTTTTCTACTTGGACCTATCGAACAATTCGCTCAGTGGGGAGATTCCAACAAGTTTGGCACAGATGAAAAGCCTAATCTCTGGCAGCACCTCACAGCTTGGACCTCGAACAGATGACTTCCCTTTCTACGTTAAAAGGAACATTAGTGACAAGGCACTGCAATACAATCAAGTCAGCAGCTTCCCGCCATCCTTAATTCTGTGCCAGAACATGCTTGTTGGACCAATCTTACCAGGGTTTGGGAGCCTTACGAGGCTTCTTGCACTGGATCTAAGCAGAAATAGATTAGCAGGGCCTATTCCAGATGAGATATCAGACATATCTGACTTAGAGTTTTTGGATTTGTCACACAACAATCTTACCGGAAGCATTCCTTCCTCGCTGTCTAAGCTCAATTTTCTATCGAGTTTCAGTGTAGCCTACAATAATCTGTCCGGGCCTATTCCAACCGGCGCCCAGTTCTCAACCTTTTCTAGTTCTGATTTTGAAGGGAATCCAGGTCTCTGTGGTTTTCACTTGAATCCATGTAATTCTGGAACGCCTGAAGTTCTTCAACAGTCAAGTCACAGAAGGCAAAATTATAAAGGTGTGATCATAGGACTGGCAGCTGGAATCGGACTCGGAGCATGTTTCCTTATGGCCTTTATCTACTTTCTTTTGTCAAAGGCTCATCCTATCCGACAGGACGACGATTCAAGGGTTGTGGCAGATTCAGGTGGCAATTTGGAGGAGGCAGAGTCTAGATTGGTGTTTCAGTTTCAGAACATGAACAACTGTGACTTAAGCATCGGTGATATTTTGAGATCCACCGACCACTTTGACCAATCTAACATCATTGGTTGTGGAGGCTTTGGCCTAGTTTATAAAGCGACTCTACCAGACGGGAGAAAGGTAGCTATCAAGAGGCTTTCCGGTGAATATTTTCAGATGGAGAGGGAATTCCAAGCTGAGATAGAAACTCTTTCTCAAGCTCAACATAAAAATCTTGTTTTGCTTCAAGGATACTGCAAGATTGGCACCGACAGACTTTTGATCTATTCGTATATGCAAAATGGAAGCTTAGACTATTGGCTCCATGAGAAACCTGATGGTGGATCTATGCTGCACTGGGAGAAAAGACTTGGGATAGCTAAAGGAGCAGCAAGGGGATTAGCGTACTTGCACCAATCATGTGACCCCCACATACTGCACCGTGACATTAAGTCCAGTAACATCCTACTCGACGAGAACTTTGAAGCTCATTTAGCCGATTTTGGGCTCGCAAGGCTTATTTTGCCGTATGATACTCACATCACGACGGACTTAGTTGGGACATTAGGCTATATTCCTCCTGAATATGGCCAATCCTCGGTTGCTACATTTAAGGGTGATGTATATAGCTTTGGAGTCGTTCTACTGGAGCTACTTACCGGTAAGAGGCCAGTGGACATGTGCAAACCGAGGGGAGGGAGAGAATTGGTATCATGGGTCCTTCAGATGAAGAAGGAGAAGAGGGCAGCAGAGGTGTTTGACCCACACATATACGATGAAACACTAGAGTTCCAACTGATGGCCATGCTTGAGATCGCTTGTTTTTGCATAAGTGACTCCCCGAAACTGAGACCACTGACCGAACAACTAGTCGTATGGCTTGATGACATCGGCACATATGACCGTATGCCAAAATAAAGCAGGCCACCTTGGAGCTGTGCAGTGATTTCTTCTCTCTTTGAGATCAGGAATAGCTGATTCTTTGTACACAGTGATCGATAGTATATAACTCAATTTCACATGGCTTTTTCTCTTCCTAGGAAAATTCGATCCATACACACGATAAAGAAGGTGAGATCATGACAGGACACAAGATACAGATGTAAAGCTGTAAGTTATGGTTTTTGATATGAGCATCTGAAACTAAATCCTAGTGGCATGTACATCATGTAACCTTTCAATTTTTTCAGAGGCCGATTATATAATGTGGAAGAACATTGGAATAAGATCAACCAATTTAAGTTTCTGATGTTTAGTTCTCCACTTCAATCATGAAATGTAGACAAGTTCTTCAAATGTCACACTCACCCTTCGATAGTACATGTTCTATGAGCTAAAAGCTGGATGCAGGAAACCAGCTTCAGTGTCTGTTTCTTGTCACAACAATGTTCAGTGATCCTAGCATCCTTACAGTCTCATCGTCAAACCATTACTTCAGCAAAGGAAGCTTCGCATTCTTTGTATGTGACGAACACATCCCCTGCATCACAAAGGAATCATGGTTGGATAGATGATTTATTTTATAGCATGCATGATCATCAAATATCATTCTTTGCTTAACATTTTAAAAAGTCCAACATCTTTTTACCACAATCGTGCGAGTAGTGATTCCATCTGACAAGTGTTTGAAGACCAAATTCTTGAAAGCAATGAACAGCACTGAACTGGAAGCCAAGACCTCTGTGAAAATGAACAGTCTCCATTGGGCTTTTGACAAGGGCCTCTGTAAAATCCTTCATGTTGCATTGTAGATATAAGCTCGGCTCCATTACTATGCTAATGAACAGAGTGCATTAGATAAAATATATAAAAATTGTTTATTGTGACTGTGAGGACTGAGTAACTTGATTCTAACCGATGGATGATGGATAATGGAGCAGTAGAGATGGCAGATCTTTGTACCACACCATGAAAAGGTCACATCAAGGGTGTTCACTGTGCACCAGAAAGAAAGTCTTAAATGGTGTGCTTCATATCCATGATGTTTCTCTTGCAGCTTATATCACTATCGTTCTTCCTGTTGCCCTTTGGACACCAATATAACCTTTTGAGACATGGTCTGCTGATCCGTGGCTGTATTAATCCAGCTCCTGTTTGACAATGCAAGCGAGTACTGCTTATGTGACTTCTCTTTTCCATCTGGAGCAGTAGACATGCAATCTGACATAGTTTTGGTGATAATGATATCTCTTTTTCACCGCCCATACTGTTTACACAATAATTTAGACTTGGTCAGACTCTCTACTCATGGTTTCTTGAGTCAAACATGGTGTTCTTTGACCAGTTTAACGATGTCCAAGCACTGAAATGGCCAAGGAGTGAATGGGATCATAGTGGTGGGAATCCAATGCACGATTATGCCAAGGCTTCATCATCTTTTTCCTGCCATGGTGGGAGTGCAGGGCTTGAACAAGGATCATTTCCCCATTGCCCGAGCGTCCATCTTAAAGTTCACATGGGTCCCTCAAGATCTTCCCATGGGTTGAGCATCGATCTTAAAGTTCACATGGGTCCCCCCTCAGAGGTAACTCAATGTACTCGGGTCCTTTTTTACGATGGACCAGTAGGCCTTTTACAGCAGTTTGGCTTCACTCACCCTTCACCCAATGCAACTCACATTGTCTTGTTGCTTCACGCCTGTCCTACGAGGTCCTCTCAGCCTTGTGTCTCTCCCCACCTCCACCATATCTTCTTGTCCCACTTCTCTACCAGGGAGGGTCCCATGCAGCTTTAATGGCATGGGCAGAGACGCAGATTCAGCTGGACATGCGAGTGTTGAGAAGATAGAGAACCTAAGAAGATTTGTGACTCCTTGATGCACATTAGTAGAACAGTCAGTCTCTCATGGGTGAATGCTTTTACTGAGGTGAAAGCCATGAATAGCCGCCTCCTTTTTTCTTCTGGTCTCTCTCGGAACCCTGGCATCCACAGGGGAGGTAGGTGCATGCAGTGGGCATGAATGAAAGTCTCATTTAGTTTTTGCAAGCCATTCTTCCCACAAGAAATGAGTGCAGAGGAAGACTGATGGATCTATTTAGTGAGACTGTACTTGATGGAATGAATGGTGGCCTGTGAGCTTTTCAGATCCCCTGCAGGCAAAAGATGATGTCTTCGACACAGCTCTGCCACCACAACATCATGGTGTTTTTGCAAGGTCTGACTCCTGGTGGCTAGCTCACTTTTGTCATCAGGCATACATGGCTTCTTAGAACAGTATCTCATATTAGATCATGAGTTTGAGAACCAGATTTGTGGCACCCCTCTTGTAGGATTAATATTCTACCCTTCACGTTGACTACTATAGTTTTTTAGCAGGAAAATTAGTTTCCTTTAGCTTCTTCATGTTTATTATTTTGATCCTACAAGTAGTAGCATTTATTGTTAGTCCGTGAAAATAATATTCATCGTGAAGGTTCAAATAGCTTTAAAGTTAATTCTCCTTGATGTTTCAATAAACCAAGTCGAAAGTGTCTTCTGATTGATGTGACATTAAAATGTATTCACATGCTTCTGACACGGATATGACATGAGGAGACATGACATGACAAAATTTCAACTCTCCAAATGTCGTGTTGACAACAAACCATTTTGACGTGGTAGGGGATTTCAAATCTCATTCCAAAGCCTGTATAAAAGTTCAAATACAACTATTTATACATATATTAAAATTATATTATATGAAAATAATAATAATAATAATAATATGAGAAATTAAAGGTATAATTTATGATCATAAGACATATTGTTGCCATAATTATATGTGACTTGTATAATTTTGATGGAGATAGGAATTTAGCTCTTACTATGATTCTAATAAATTTTAAATCCGATTTCCAGTTCTAATATGATAATGAATCAATATCATCTAAATGTTTATTTACTATATGGTTATCAACTATTTAATCTCATAATCAAGATTCTAAATTTTAATTTATGATCGATCTCAATGATCCATATCATATCAATGTATTGGATGATGTACTTATTATTATCATCAAAGTCTAGTAAAAAAATCAGTAATATTTATCATGGAACGACTTTACACTAACTTACGATTATATTTTTATCATCTAATTTTTAGTTTTTTCCTTGTATAAGTGTTTAGCAAGTAACTTGTAAAATTATATCTTTACGAGACATCTAAACTTGTCAATCATTTATTCGCTCAACTTTTTCTTATAGATTATACAAGATTGTTTTTAGGTTAATATTTTAGGAAGAGATGAAAGACCTTCAAACCTAAGCAATTATAACTAAGTTTATGATATTAAAATAATATTTTATATATAAAAAATTCGATTGATTGACAATCGGGATTAGACATCTCCAACACAATTTGTACTTCCAACACCAACTTAGCCAATCATATGCGAGTAAAAAGTCCAACTTGTCGACAACTCTCATGCATTCATCTCTCTTTTGAGGATCATAATATTATATCATAAATTTAATAAAATATCATCATGTATTTTATTATACAATCAAGTAGAGTTCACAAGTAGTATGAGATCATAATACTATACAATCAAGAAAATAGAGTAGTATGAGATCATAATTTCAGATATGATTCTGTTAAAACAATATTACAAGTAGAGTTCACATCAATTCAGATTCAACTTTTCATTCAATAGTTGATAGAGACCAACCTTTGAAGACAAGCCATAAAATGAAGTCTGACCCCATTTGCTGCCAACCAGCTGTCATGTGTTGGCTTCACTTGGCACTGACAAAGTGTTTGACAACAGTTGACATGTATTCAGGTCACATAAAACTATGCACTTGTAAATTATTTATATGTCGATCAATATTTTCGTTGTTATCCATAAGAAGAGCATTCAAGGTTCGTATAATATCTAATAAATAATCTTTCAAATGTATTTACAAATACATAATATATTTTGAATCATAGAATATAATTATATCATCAACATTTATGTGTAATTTCGATAAGATGACAAAGAATCATTTAAGATAATACGTATTCATGTCAATAGGCTTATTTTTCTTTCTTCATGCAATTGTTGATAACTTATATAATTCATACAATATTCAAAGATTTACTTATTTGTATCTGATTAAAAACGGATAAGCTGAAAGTAAGTTCTTCAACATCTGATTTGTATGATGTATTTCATTACGTTGAAATATATTTCGATACTAAAATATTGCAAGTAAATATTTTATAGTTCATGATAAAAAACTTGTTATATTGTTCAAAAAAACTTGTTATAATAAATAGAAATTTTCGTTTTTATGTTAACTAATGTGTTGGAAGATTAAACAGTCAGTACTTACCACCGATCATTCAATAAGACAAAGCAAAAAAGAAAAAAAATCTTTTACAAAATAGTAAACATTTATTTTTATAATAAGTGTACTTAAAATAATTATTTTGATTAAAAAATTTAAAAAATATGGTACATTCTTCATGTAAAATTATTTTTATAAAAATAATATATATATATTGATGTTTTGGGATACACATGCACATGCAAATAACGTGCATGGAGACCCAAAAAATTACTGTCGAAAATTATTATTAAGATAAGACGATTTGCGTCATTGTCCGTATCGGTGTCGTCTCCATTTCAGTCACCATTAACTCCGTCTTAGGAATCTAATGGGATTCCATCCAATCAAAAATCAACATGACAGGCATCACAGTACTCGTCGGTTTGCCCCTTCCCCTGCGCCACGGGATCCAATAATTGTAACGTCTACCGTTAGGAATATGGAGTTTCTTATGCTATCGCAAATATCAAATTATAATTCACTAACTATTTAATTTGCTATATACTAATGTTTTCTATGTGCTTGAGATCGAAGACAGGTGTTTATGTCGTAGTAGTAGTAGTGATATAAATAAAAATCTAGCGAGGGACTATGAGGAGGAACCATGATGATGAAGGAAGATTTGGATTTGATGCGGCGGCCCCGCTCCGACCGCCCCTGCGGTAATCTCACCCTTTCGTTGGAGCCGCCCGCTTCGTCCCTCGCTTCTCAGGATGTGGGGCCGAGGAGCAGTACAATAATTCGTGCAGGGACGGGGGCCCCACTCGTCGGTCGTAATCCGCATGAGAGACGGCTGCCCTCTTTCGTGATTCGGGAAAAAGTTTTGGGGCATTTCCGCCATAAAAAGATTAGCTGGAGCCCACCTCGAAGGCGAAGACCGTACGGATGCGGCAGTGACCCTTTCTTGCCACGTCGGTCATTGCCCATCGACGGGCCCTGATCCGTCTGTCTCACCCATGGACGGCGTAGATCTCCTTCCTCTTTGCCACCGGTGGTCCTCTCCCCAGAGTCGTGAGTTCTTGGTGACGGCAGGTGGACCCCGGTCGGGCCCGACAAACACGTTCCACTTATCATTGGGTAGCTGAAGAGGGTAGCTGACGGACGTGTCTTAAAGCTCTCCTTCGGGATAAAATAATTCAGAAAAAAATAATAGTGGTTTCAAATCGAAAATTCCACGCATACTCGTTTCGACGGGTACCCGCTCAGGCGATTTCATGAGGCTCACTTCCTGTCCAGTCGATACACTGGTACAAGTCGAGTCGGATCCCATGGGGGTAAGTGGATGTTGCCCTTAAAGATTTCGGTTATTTAGAAGCGTTTTCTTTGGGGGAGAATTGTCGGAAAAAAAAAAAAAAGTGTGTACGAGAGCGCGAGCGAGTCTGGTCGCGATTCGCGAGGAGAGATAGCGATGGGAATAAAAGCGAAGATTTTTCTTTCTTTTTTACCCTTTTGCTTTTCTTCTGCGTAAAGTTGGAAGCCCGAAGAGGCAAAAGAGCGAGTACAGAGGTTTTTAATTTGTTGCCGAAGATTTATCTGCCATCGTCTCGTCTCCTCTCCTTCTTTGGGTTTGGCAGATTGCTGGGGAGCTCGGCATGGCGATTTCGAGGGACGAGAGCTCCTCCGAGCTCGGATGAACTCCTGGGTCCAAGAAACTTGGGTTTTTGTCGAATAATTCTTGCGGCGAAGTCTAGCTTCGACGACCGTTGCTTCTTCTGGTGACGTTTCTTTAGTTTACGGTATCGACTTGGCTAGGAGTGTTTGATGGCTTGATTAGGTTTTGAAACCCTAGTTCTGTTGTTGGTTCGATCTTAAAGCTGTGGCTTTTTATTGTTCCTTGACATCAAGTAGTGGTTCTTACGATTTTAGGTTGGAGAGGGAACGCATTTGCAGTGGAGGAAATGATCGGATTGGCAGAGATAAGATGAAGCTTTCCACTGTTGGTATCAGCCAGCAAGCACCGGAAGGTGATCTTTTTTATGTTGCCTTCGATCTTGCTTCCATTCTTACCGCTGTTTCTGAAAAATGAAGGTTGTTTTCTCATTGTTGAATTAGAGGAGGAGAAGAGATGTTTGGATTCGGAGCTCTGGCACGCCTGTGCCGGGCCGCTGGTTTGCTTGCCGACGGCCGGTACTCGAGTGGTCTACTTCCCTCAGGGTCACAGTGAGCAGGTGAAAGATTGAACCGTTGATACGTTTCCTTGACAAATGGATGGTTGGTACACTTTCTGTTTAATGATGACGGGTTTTCATCAAGGTCGCTGCATCGACGAACAAGGAAGTGGAGGGCCATATCCCCAATTACCCGAGCTTGCTGCCTCAGTTGCTCTGCCAGCTCCATAACGTGACGCTGCACGTTCGTTCTTGCACTTATTTATTCTGATCTACATATCTATATATTGTCAATTTCAGATTTAAGTGGCTGTACGGATTGCAGGCAGATGTGGAAACAGATGAAGTTTATGCTCAGATGACCCTGCAGCCTCTAAGTCCCGTAAGTTTGATCTGAATTGTAACTGTTTACTAGCAACTATACTGTATTTTCTTATTAGGACCTGTGGAACATGCCATAATATCTGCAGGAAGAGCAGAAAGATGCTTATTTTCCTATGGAGATGGGCATTGCGAGCAAGCAACCAACGAACTATTTCTGCAAGACTCTGACAGCGAGTGATACAAGTACCCATGGAGGTTTTTCTGTACCTCGTCGTGCAGCTGAAAAAGTCTTTCCGCCCCTGGTGCGATGGTCATGAGCAAGTTGTATTAATATCTCTTGGAAATTTATTGGAAACGCCAGGTATAAAAGTTAGTAATGACTTCTGTCTCATTGATTCTAGGATTTCTCTCAGCAGCCTCCAGCACAGGAGCTTATTGCTCGTGACCTTCATGATGTTGAATGGAAGTTTAGGCATATTTTCCGAGGTGATTGAACCTATTTTGATGCTGTATATTCTCTGTAGTTCATGCTTCTGTTGATAGACTTAGTTCTATTGGCATAGACCGAGGGCAATTACAAAAAAATTGAATTGTGCTCAGCCAATATTTTTACTGAATATAACTTAATTATAAATTTATTTTTAAAATTTATACTTGGAACTCAATGTCACAGACAAAAATCCTTAGTTAGCGAGGTACATCTGAATTGGCTTTAGATGACCAAGGTGTTTGTGTGTACATATTGGTGCCAAATTACGGGAAACAACTTTAGGCTGACACTAGCTTGCGTAAGCTTAACTATTGTGATTTGCAAATTTCTAATGCTTATATTTTGTGGTGGTTATAAGCTTGAGCCAATTTCTAGAACTTCCCTTGGATTCAGAACATGCCCTCACCTCACTTTATATTTGAAAAAGATACTTTTGAGGCTTTCAAGCTTGTTGATGGACCCTAGAGTTGTACAGAAATTTGATTGTATGGTCAAGAAAACTGAAGTTTGGTTATGTTATAATTGTAATTTAGAAAAAGGCAAGTGTTGTAATATCTAGAATATGACAGCCCGTAGACCATTCCTGTCAGCTCTGTTGTTAGGAAATGACTTTTTTGTTTGAATGATGGAAGTTAAACAAATGGCAAGCAGACTTATTCTCCAAGACAACCCAAAGATCTGAAATTTCAAACAGTAAATAAAAATGATAGATGATGGAAGTTTTTCATTCTTCAAATAGTAAATAATTCTTTATATATCAGACAGATTGGCTGTTGCAAATTTTATAAATTAAGAACGAAGAGAGAGAAAAGAGTTTGTCAAAACTATCTTAGATACCTTTTCAATAGCCAAATAAATTTGGTTACAAATGAACTGTTTCAAATGAGTCAGTTCAGAAAAGAGTTCTATGAGGAGTCACTAGCAAAAGGAAGGATACTTTGATGATCTGTCCCCATTAAACATCTATCTAGAATTACTTTACTAACTTTCAAGAAACTGTCAATGCAGTTGCTGATTAAAGAAGGGAGTGTTCACCACATGTTGATAGAATAAACAATTACCTAGTCAAGGATGAGACCTTCCTTTGATTCATGTTTTAGGAGCATCAGTTCGATTGGATCCGAACCTAGGATGCCCTTCCATGGCTTCAGTTGCTCAATATCATTCCTCTGGCCATTGAAACAGAAGTTCCTTAGGTCGACTGCTATTTTATTCGTTGTTTTCTTTTTTGTGTTTAAGTGAAAAGGATCCACTTCATGCTTCTTGAACATGAAAGAAGTCTGATGTTTAGCATCATACATTTTTTTTACTCCTGTTGGCATTATAGTCCCAACTATTCTTCGGCAAGAAAATTCTTTGGGGTATGTAATTTTTATGGTCTTGATGGTGACCCAATCAATTTCTCTTAGTTGAGCTATCTGAATGTGCTATTTAGGCGATCACCTCTATTCTTCCTGTCATGATACTACATTCTGGCATTTTACATCAAACAAACAAATGGTGTGTTAATCTTCTATCCACAGCTTGACTCATGCACTTGCTGCTTGTATCTGTGAGCAACCTCATCACCTGCAGCAGACAATCCACAAAATCAAGTTGTAGCCAAGATATCCCATTTTCAATCTCACTGCTGCTTCAGAATGCTTTCTGTAGGCTCTTTTAAAGAGCATGACGTCTCCGAAGTTGAGAAATTGGGCCTTGGGTCACTTCAATCATAGACACATCATTTGGATCCTTTCCTCTCCCGTTTAGATAGTCCCTATAAACTTTCCACTGTAATATTGTGCATCAGAGGGTATTTGCTTTGTCATTTTTTGTCTCTGTGCTATTTTGAGTATATTTCTTTTTAAGAGATGTCTTGCTTTTTATTGGTAGAAGACTTTAACATCATATATTAAGCAAAAATTGTGAGTATTTTGCGTGATTTATTGAAAGCAACTGCAAATGAACAATCTAGTTTCTTTGTTCCTATTTCTTCTTATAACTATTGTAACATCATTAGAATTTTATTGTCAATCATTTTCTTTACCACAGGTCAACCAAAAAGGCATCTCCTCACCACAGGCTGGAGTGTGTTCGTCAGTGCCAAGAGACTTGTTGCTGGGGATTCTGTTCTTTTTATTTGGTTAACTTAATTTCCTTATCCATTTCTTCCATGCTAAATGTGGCACAAGATGGAAAGCCTGTCTCCCTTTCTTTTCAATTTATATGTGTTATGACTTTGATTTTTTTCTTTTTCTTGTTAGGAATGAAAAGAACCAGCTTTTGTTGGGAATAAGGCATGCTAATCGGCCACAAACTTCGACACCATCATCAGTTTTATCAAGTGACAGCATGCACATTGGACTCCTTGCTGCAGCTGCTCATGCTGCTGCTACAAATAGTCGTTTTACTATATTTTATAATCCAAGGTATCTATTACCATCATAGTACATTGTGTTGGTCACTCTCTTTATATTGTAGGAGCTTGTGTTATAGTTTTTATGGATGCAATTTTCACAGGGCCAGTCCATCAGAGTTTGTTATACCTCTTTCTAAGTATATTAAAGCAGTATTCCACGCACGTGTATCAGTTGGGATGAGATTCCGTATGCTTTTTGAGACTGAGGAATCAAGCGTTCGTAGGTAATATAATAAACCAACAGTATTTGCCAAATACTTATTTTTATAGTTCCTCTTATTTGTGGTTATGAATATATGAATTTCAGATTTTTGTACCATAAGAAATGTGATCTTACAGGATTGTATTAAGATGACATTGCTTTTTATAGTTCTTCCCATTTGTGGTTAAACATTGTTTTTTTTATAGTTCCTCTCATTTGTGTTTATAATAAGAGTATATGAATTTTAAATTGTGGTAGGCTAAGAAATGTGATCTTATGGGATTGCATTAAAATGATTGGTTTGTGTTTTATGTGGTAGCCAGTTCATGTCTGAAACATATTTAATATTCCTATTTATGATTTATGTTGTCTGAAGGTATATGGGAACAATCACTGGCATAAGTGACTTGGATCCTGTTCGTTGGCCGAATTCTCATTGGAGAACTGTCCAGGTAAGTATTTGTGTTGTTATTATTTTAATATGTGTGTAAATGTCTATGACTTGAGCTGTAATTTGCCTCAATCCTATGACCTCCAAATCAATCATGAAGGCTCCAAATCAGAAATCATACCATTGGATATGATAGATTAATACATTTATCAAAATTCATGTGATTTTGATAAATTTAGATATTCACCAAACTAACAAAAAAATGCATGGCGTAAATTGCATTTATGCAAAAACATGTGATATAAGCCTATTTTATTAATCATCCAAATGATTGATCATGATCTATTTATTGTTAGATAAATGCACACAATTCAAAATACTATTGAATATTGATCCTATCATAATATATTGTAGGTGATTAAAACTGCTTATTTCTTGGTCCATGATGATGTGCATTTCTAAATATTTTTCAAAGTTTAGTCTAAATATCTTAATTCATGTTCAATGGAGTCAACCTTCAATTTGGAGCTCTCATGATCCTCCATGATTGATTCTAAGGTGTTAAAACTGAGCCTTAATCCATCCGCTATGACGATAGCTCAACTCCGTACTTGTTTCTGTTTATATATAGATGCAGACCTATGTACCAAGTTCATGTTGTTGTGTAAGGGTTATTAGTCAAGCTTTTGTTTTATTCCTTTCAACTTCTAAATGAAGATATTGATATCTTAGTCCTACTTTGCAATAGCACTGCAAGATTGCTGTGAGGTAGTGAAGTCAAGTAACCGATGTATGGCTGTGGTTCTGTTAGAACATTTAGAAGCTTAAGTTGATCGGTAACACTCTTATTTTACTCACCGTGCCACTTCTTTTTTATCCGAAAGGCTGTCCTAAAGGAGTCTCATGATGGTAGAATAGAGTATGTTTTAGAACTTAGAAGATAGGCACCTAATAGCTTATCATCCTGCCATTCTTGGATTTTAGCATGATACCTAGTAGGTTGGAAGTTGTAGCCACTGCTATCATTTTTTTGGTTGCTCTGGACTTTGCTGCTTTAAATTTTATATCTGAATGGTATTCAGAGGTTCACTAAGTCTTTATTACTTTTCCTTGCCGAGAATTAAGGTCTTAGTATTCAAGTTGCTCCACCCTTCAAAAAAAAAAAGTATTTGTTTGAACTAATATGGGATTTTAGTAATTGCATTTGCAGGTTGGTTGGGATGAATCCACAGCAGGTGAAAGACAGCGCAGAGTATCACTGTGGGAAATTGAACCTTTAACTACCTTTCCCATGTACCCTTCATTGTTCCCTATTGGCCTTAGACGTTCTTGGCATCCTGGAGCTTCCTTTCCTCATGGTATGTTCTAATGCATTCTTTCTTATTTGATCCTTTATTGCTTTGGTTGGCCTTGTCATGCTTTGTTAAAGAGGAACAACAAAATGGAGATGGTTTTATGTTATTATTTTATTTCTTGGTGTATGATTGTGTGACTCATAAAAACAATTGCTTTGTATCTTGAAAAATTATGGAGCCATACTATGATGCAGTATCCTGTAGCTACTGTTAATAGCTACGGGTACTGTTTCTAGAGGCAAATATGTAATATTTTGAGGATACATCATTCTACATACTCTGTGTGGTGATAACTATGGTTGAATTCTTCTTGAAGATGTCAGAAAATACAAATATTTTATATTGATTCTGACATTCTAATTTATCTACACTTTCATTTTCAGACAATAGAGAAGAGTTTAATACTTTCATGTGGCCGAGGGGGGTTCCTGTTGATCAAGGCATGTACTCATTGAACCTCCCATCACTTGGTACGGGTCCTTGGATCCAGCAGAGGCATGAAACATTGCTGTTGGGAAGTGAGTTTGATCAGTACCAAGCCATGTGTCCTCTAGCTTTTCAGGACATACGATGTGGGGATATTCTGAAGCAGCAATTTCTACAAAATCAACAACCAATTCAATTTCTCCAACAATCCTGCACATCCAGTTCACTATTCAAGCCTCAAGACAATCAACAGCAGATTGTTAATCCCCAACCACAATGCTTAACAGAAAACCATAGACATCCGGTCCCATACCAGCAGTTGCAGCCACCGCATACTGAACAACAAAAGCAGCTGCCTCAAGAAGCAAATGTTTATACACAGGCATTTACAATGCATAACAATCATGTGCAGCGGCAATCTGCTTTGCCCTCTCCATTATTTGAAAACTCAACCATTCCTGATTCTAGTTTAAATTTCTCCTCAGTTCCCACACCAATTTCTGACCAGGATATCTTAGGATCTGCTTACCGTGAAGGAAATGTCAGTGGTTCCAACTATTCACGACTCAATCAATCCATGATAAACCATCCTGGTCAGAAATCATGGGAACTAAATTTTACGAAGTCGCAAATGATCTCTTTTGATGGTGCAGCTCTCCTTTCATCATTTCCTGCTAAGAACAGTACTGTGGGAAATGATAATTTCACAGATACCCAGACTTGCACCCTTTTTGGTTTTAGCAAAGATTCCTCCTCTCTGCTAAATAGTGCATTATCAAATTCAGGAACTGTGAATGATGTGTCAACAATGCCATACACTAGTTCGTGTTTCCAGAATTCTTTTTATGGGTATTTAGATGACTCGCCTAGCTTACTACATGGTGCAGGAGAGACTGATCTGCAATCCCAAACCTTTGTGAAGGTAAGAGCAAAGTTTTTAGCTGCATCAAATGCCCACTACTTCAGATTGCCCTTTCCAAAGCACCATATGCACTCAGCTGTACATAAGGTGAATATTCTTTTTTTCTGTTAACCGAAGATACTCTGTTTTCTCTTATAGGTTTATAAGTCAGGATCGGTTGGGAGGTCTCTAGATATCTCCCGGTTCAGCAACTACGAGGAACTACGCGAGGAGCTGGGTCAGATGTTTGGTATTGAGGGTCTATTGGAGGATCCTCTTAGATCAGGCTGGCAGCTTGTATTTGTCGACAGGGAGAACGATGTGCTTCTCCTTGGAGACGACCCATGGGAGTAAGAAATTACTTGAAACATTTAAATATTGTTTAGTTACAAAGTACCACACTGGTAGATGCATATGCAATTACTTGTCAATCTACCCTATGTTTTCATGTTTCAATATTTAGAATAAACTAAATTGTGTGTATCAGCCTTCTGTATTTTTTTTCGAGGTCGAACACCAAGGTGTTTTGGTGAAAGAATGAAATGTGCCTCCTTTGATGGTCTTGCTAGGAATCAGCAAGATACTAATGAAGACGAAATTAGGGAGCATCAGTTATGTCTCATTTTGTCAAGGATATGATCAAGAAACATCTGTCCAAAATTAATAATACAAAAAGATGCAAATATTCTTAGGAGTATAGGACAACTTCCCAACCAATAGTTTTTTGTTGGAGCTCCATGTCAATGTTAGGGAATGGAGAGTTCATGTTATATGACCTCTTTCTTTTTTTATCTCTTTACTAAATCAATTTTGGTTTTACATTTGTTTGAATTAGATGTTTAGCTAATTCGATTCTTCTTCATGTTTGAAGATTGTATTGCTTTGCATTATCATTAGTCACCTCTTTTATTTATTTTCTCCTGATCCAGATTTCTCGATTAAAAAATAATCCAGGAATTATTTTCTATTTGCTGAACCTATAGACATTTTTGTTTATGCTTTTGCATATGAAAGTTAAGACAATTTATTCATCTCTCTAGTTCGGATGTGCCCAGGAAATAGAATACTCCTCAGGTTCAACTGGAACCAAGAACAAAGAGGCATGCACTCATTTCCTCAGGTTTAACAAGCAAGACATTTAAGGTCGAAAACTGGAAGTGAAATTCCTGATTTGAACATTCTAGTTGTCATGGTAAATGAAATGCAGAAAGAAATAGAAAGTGATTACTCCCTTAGAACTAGTTCAGTATGACCTGTACTCAAGTTCATCTCTTCTGCCTGTGTCTACTTGGCAATTTTGCCACCTTGCATGTAAAAAAATATTGGCCAGCTTTTCTCATTCTTGTCATTTAAGTCTATTTTTGGGAAGGGAAGGAGAGGGTCTTAAAAAGGTTCATCAACTGAGGGCCATTAAGATGTGTCACTTGTTTTGAGATTAGAAAGAACTTCATTCTATAATATTTTTGTTAAGAATTTTTTTATCTATTAGAAGTCATTTTCCTTCAGATGTTCGAAAATAAGTCAGCCAATTAAGGGATTGAGTTATACAGTAGCTGATTTAATCTTTCTAGCGACATGGTGTGTATCCTGTCCGTGCTTTCTGTTGCTGATGCAATTTGGCCATGTATTTTGCCTTGACACGACCATATAACATAGGCTGACATGCAGATCACTGAGCCATGCCCACGGTATGAGCAAATTCAAAAATTCTTTTCTAGTTCTTATTTTGGAGTTCATATTACCTTTTAGGGTGCCCGTTGTCCACAGTAAATTTACATAGAAGATCATATGTTTGTTTTTCTTGTTTGTGTTATTTTGTACACCTGTAGTTTATTGTAGCATGTGGCAACATTATTTGTTGCCTTGTTTAATAGTTATGATTTCACTCCCATAGATCAACAAGATAAAGTTCAATAAGATCGGCAGCCATTTATCAATTGGATTTGGAAAGGGGCACTTATCCAATGTACAACATGCTGTGTCTGCCAGGTAGTTGTAAGTCATGGTAGCTAAACATAAAATCGAGCACTTGCAGGTCTAGTATCACTAAGGTAGGACAATACCACCAGTATAATGTAAGGTTCAGGTTAACATCAAACCTTCATGCAACTGTCAAATGCCTCCTCTACAATAAAATCCATGCAAGTACTCACAGAATAAACTTTCTCTGAGTCAGTACTGAAAATACTAAGCTTGGTGTTCTGTCATTCCAGTCAGAATTTGTCTGCATAACTTATCACTATCCAGTAAATATGCTTCCTGCCAATGTCAATACATTGATGTTTGCCAGAAATGTAAATGCTTGTGCTTTATGGATTCTATAGAAGCAATAAACATATGATATCAAAATTGAACATAAAAATGAAATATCTGTACATCCCATCATGATGTTTCTTTGCATAACCCACTAAAATCAGTTACCTGTTTAAGCACAGTTCTCAGTCCAAACTTTGTATCTTAGTGAATGGCAGATAATCTGTCAGGATTTGAGTATATGTTAAAATGGAGTTTAAGGCCATTGCTGTCTATGTAATTGCACAGGTTGGAATTTAAGTTTTTATTGTTTAACTGGACATTTGACATTACAATGCAGGTCCTTTGTGAATAATGTTTGGTATATCAAAATACTTTCACCTGAGGATGTGCTGAAAATGGGAAAACAGGGAGTTGACTCTTTCTGTTAGTCCTCACTGAAGTTCAAGGAACAAGGGTATGTTCTATAGATAAGTGTTGTTGCATGTTATATTGGACATTTGTAAAAACTACTGTTTCTGCTTTGAATCTTCTTATTCCGTGTTGTTGTTAGTGGTATTACCTACAAAGAAAAACTTGATAGGTATGCTCCAATTGTTTCTATAATCGTAAACTTAGATAAAGTTTTTGGATAGGGAAAACTGTGATATTTATAAGTTGGATGATGGATTGCGTTGGAATTTATGCCATGGCAGGATTGTTGTTAGTTACTCGGGTTTATACCTTTTGGGTCATGTGGTTCAGAAATCTTTTTAGTCAGAGTTGCTGGGCAATGGATCTATTGAGTTGTTTTACTCTGCTGATGTTGTCAAATTATGTCTCAACATCCTTCCACTAATTATTGCCATTATTTGTCCTTTTTTCTTAAACTTGCTGTAATTGACTTAGAATTTGACAATCATTGTATACCATATTATATTGTGTAAAAGTGATATGCCAGCACACACCAAGTACTTCCATGTTGTGCTGATTTTAAAAGGAGTCTGCGAGGCTGGTACCAAAAAAATTAATATCTTGATTTAGTTTCAACAATTGGATCTTTTGATAGTTAATAATGAAAAACAATAAAATGGTCGGTTAAGGTTGCGCTTGCTCATAAACTTGGTATAACTGAGCCAGCAGTGGGGTTTGCTGATTGGATTAAAAATCATATGAAGAAAGACTTCAGAAAACTTATCGTTGTTTGGCAGTTGGTCGGATTGTGTTGACACACTGCAATGCTAGTAAAATAGGAACCACCAGAGGACATTGGTGTGTTATGTAGTGTTTGCATAGTAGTTCAGCAAGATCTGATCTTATTTTCTGGCTTTGCAGGTCACACTCCTGTGCAGCCCTCAAGTGGCACTCTCAGCGACGACTCCCATGATTTTGTTGTTCTGGTTATTCTGTATGATGTGCAAGATCTATGAATTGTACCTCGGAATAACTGGGTCTCTTCTACATGTTCGAAACTGGATGAATAAACTAAACATTTACTGTGACTGTAATCCTAATTACTAGGACTTATCGATATGGTTGAACAAGTATCGTCTTGGTTTGTTTCCTTGTATAACTACTACTTGTTTTGAGTAGCAACCTTTGGCCTGCAGTTCCAACTTGTCTTGATGTTTCTTTTCTAAATGTTATAGTTTTCATAATGACAGTGGTATTAGGAAGACTACTTGGATGGTGATGAAGCTGGGAACACTCAAAATGCAAGGTACAGTGATTCTCGATGATCCATGTCCGATAGCATCTTGATGGAGCTCAGCACCAAATTGATGACAGGTTTTCTTTTTGTTTTATTAGTATTTCATATTGCTTAATTGATGACAAGGCCTGAGAACTGTCTTATATATGCCAGACTGAATGATAACCCTTTTAGCGCCCAGCTATCTTATCCATCCGTCTCTTTTACCCAACCTTAGCTCCATTGCAGATGCTACTAGATATGAAAGCACCTGTCAGCGGCGTTTTCGAAGCCAGCAAGGTCCTGAACAGGGTGAGAGCCTGCAAAACCATGACCCACCTCGTCTCTTATGCGCAGCCGACGAGTCGCCCAGCAGACTGCAACTAGAGCACCGGAGGAGAAAGGGGTGACTACACAGCTCGTCCGTGATGAGGTGCGTGAGGTTTGGAAAAGCTTCCACCTGGTTCTGCTTCGTACGTGCCTTGTTTAGGATTCGCTACATCCATGGCAATGGTCGTTCGAGTGCAGTGCTTGCTGTTGCACATGTAATACTGCAACGCTTCCTCGGTTACTCGTCCGACTTGACTGTCACAGCTGAAATGCTTTGCAAGTTTAGGGTTCGGAAGCCTCTCTTCGCATGTCTGGGATTACACGGAACGTCGAACGTAGGTACTCGACACTCACGTACAAGTTATCGAGACAACCGACGTGACTTTGACCGCCCAAGTGCTTCGTTAAGGAGCCTACCAGAAATGTAACGGAGATGAAGAGCAAATCAACGAAATCTCGTTTCGCTCCAGCATACACCACCTCGTTCTTACTGCGACGACCTTTATGTCAACCTCCCTCTTGATCTCGTATGGTCTTTTAATCGAAGCATGGGGATCATGACTCCCGTTCTCGGTTGGTTTCACGTCGTACGGCAAAAGATCTCGGCCCAGAGGCCTCAGCTACATTATTTTACAACAGCATATCTGTGAGTGGAGTCCTCGAGATCAATGATCGCCTCAGAAGCTGCAGAACCTGCAGCAGCACAGAACAGGGTAAACCTTGCAATCATTAGATCGGAGAAAGAAGTTAGTGCTTGCTTAAATACGTCGGTACGACCAATCTTCGCCAGCTTCCGTTCCAGGTTGCTCCATTCGCTGATGCAAAGATTGTGGAGCAATCAGGAGAAGTCGTCCACAGGGGCTATTGCCAAATCTTCCCCTACAACGAATCTGGTGCCTCTGACGAACACACCCTGTTCACGAGATCTAACTGAAAGCAGCATATCTTGCAAAAAGTAGTACTTCCTTTTGCTGTCCAACCGGAGTTGCTCGGTCGTGTCTTTACCGCACCGGCATTTGGAGTTGGGGTAATAGTTTGACAGACAGTGAGAATAGAGGCGGCAGTCCTTGTGATGAACAGACGTAGTGAACTTCATCTGTGTCGTCAATGCTGACCTTCAGGCTCTTGCATTCAGTTGCAGATGCATTCCTCGGAAAAAGCAGCATCGGCCTGCTCGCCTCTTCCTTCGGGTACTGCTTGTTGAGCCACTTGCCATCCCGTAGAGCTTATCCATGCAACCCAGGGAAGGTTGCTGGTCTGTTGTTAGGCTAACGATAGTTCCATTTGGCAGTGTGAGGAAGCTGAGGAGGACGTCCACGAAATCCTTATCTGATTCAACGAACGTAACACGTTTTTTGGCTTTGTCGACGAAGAGCTTCCAGGTAAAGGGTTTGGCGTCCGCCATGATATATTCTCGTCGTCGCAGGCCTCCTATTATACCGTCACCTTATTGCACCCACAACTCCAAGAGACACCTCACATAGTTTGCCGCATTATGAAGAAGTTGAAGCAAATCCATTGAAAGCTTAAATGCGCAGAAATCTAAGGATTTATTGGTTAAGACCACTTGCATTAGTGTGAGAGACATTTGATATCCAGTCAAAAGAATTACATTTGAGAAATTTGTGGCATCTATTGATACAAAGCTCCATCAAAGCACTCATAAAGATCCCAGTGAAGTTTTCTGAAAGTTGCTGCAGCAATAAATCTCAACTGAAATCACACAAGAACATTTATAAAGGCACATATATCCTTCATTATCAACCTAGTCAGTGTTCAACTTGAAAGAATCAGTCGTCATCGGAATGGAGGGCTTCGAAAAGCATGCATCCAGTAGTCGGGTCCGCGACTTTGTTGGTGGACTTGCGGAACGCAAGAAACAGGAACCAAGCAGAGCCCTTTACTCCTCAGATCAGCCTCTGCCTCTGCTTTCTCCTTCTTGCTCATCTCTCCCCAGGAACTGTGATCCTGAAACAGAGGAACAGGCTTCTCACAGTGTCTAAAAGTCCTTTCATTCTGCAATAACATTCAACTGGTTTTTTGCAGTACCTTGATTCTACTTGACTTCATGTACGAGTTACTGAGCAACTGCATGGAGGCACAAGAGCTGCTCAGTTCATGGATTCAAGACTGCTATAGCATGCACATGTATATGACTGGTAGATTTCAGCAGAATAATTCAGTAGTTCTCAGGTCTTTCCACTTTTATTTCATTGACGATTCTAGGAACCGTGCAACAGTCATTTATCGAATAATTATGGCTATTCTGGAACATTAATGCAGTGACCATTTACTTCACAGAAGATGGGAACATCGAGAAGTTTACAGAGTTACCTGTACTTGCTTTTGCAAGACCAAGATACAGTTAAACGTTTCAAATAGCACCGATGCAGTGTCGGTCTGCAATTGAACAAGAGAATACATGGGAATAAGGTCAGGTTTTGTAGTCTGGATATGAACATGTATTGCCTGAGTAGTAACCTTTCCAAAAGGCGACACAAGTTGCTGCAGTGAAGTGATTTTATCTGTCATCTTGACCTTGGGTGCCTGCAATTGGTTGTGCAGAGCATCATATTAGCACATTCCGAGAATTACTTGCTTTCATCGATTTCTTTGCCATCCTAATTACTCAGTTAGATGAACAACTAAACGTCAGAAGAAGATGGACAGAATTTTCTCTTCTTGCCGTACCTGAAGAGACGAAACTGTGGAGTTCTCATGCTTGGACTTCTTTAATTGTGTCTGTGAATTCTCATCAGATCTCTTCTTTTTTCCTTCGGTTGTCCCAGTACTTTTCCCATGTTCTCTACTCTGTAAGTAAAACAAGGACTTTACCTTTTAGCAGAAGGGAAATAATAGGAGTTGATCACACAAAAACAATCAGGAGAGAAGTGTAGCGTGCTTACAGATGAACCATCATGTCCTTGTATCCTGCCATAAGATGAATCCGAACCTCTCATGTAGGACCGTGAGGGTCGTAATTCCGTTGATGGCCTGTTTACGCAATCACCAAAAGAGATAAGGTCCGACAAACTGCTAACACCAAACTGGTATCCAAAGCCATTATTACTGGGTGGAGGTGGAAAAGCTGTGGGAGCTTCCATGTCTCGATGATCGCTCTCTCCTTCAATATTACGGCCGTAGGGCGGTTTATAACTTGTACTTCTTTCTCTTACCGATTTATTACCGGGATATGATGGTGATGTAGGAAGTTCATGCTTGACAGGAGTGATCCTCGAAGTAGAATACTGGACCATAAAAGGTGCCATGGGAGAACTCCATGGTGATGGCGCAATATGTTGATCGAGCTGAGGGGTTCTTTCATCTTGGTTTGTGCTTCCGTTGTAGCTGCTCAAGTGTTTCTCGAATGTGTTCAGTGAGAGAGGATTTGGGAAGTCGAAACTAGTGTCCAACTTCTTCGGGTAATCACAAGCAGGGTTGGACATCTGATTCCTCCTCGATGGACCCTTAGAGGTCAGCGTTTGGAGGAAGTTGTCTCCGTCGCCGTGGTGGTTGTGCATGTCTCCGCCGCTCCCAACATTTCTGCGGCATCCAGATTCCATGCTTAGCTCTTAATTTCTCGTCATAAAAAGAATGTTTTGCATATGATGTAAGGAACAAAGATCAATAAGCAAGCTAGTCATCATTTGGAGTATCTCTTAAAGAACAGGGTCCCTGTCACAAGAATCTTAGTCTTTTCGCACCATAACATCATCTAAAGAGTTTGATTCTTCCCCACTAGGATCAATCATGGACATGGGTACTAGCCATAATACTTACAACAGGACTTGGTTCCATAGCTGGTTCTCCACTCGCTCTCCTGAGAGATAGGTGTTGGTGAATGAACTGCTGTTGGAGATGCAGAGGCCCTCATCGCATGATGATGAAATGGAGCGGTGGCTCGACTGAGGCCACTGGTTGATGGCGCTCCAAGTGGAGGGGAAGTCGTCATGGATCTCCCACCGGCTGTTGGCTGAAACCGACGAGCTAGCCACCGAGGTTTCCGAGGCTTCTTGTGCCATGGAAGGAGCGCATGTAGACACCGAGATACGGCCTTCCGTCGGCTTTATGGTTGGAAGAAGATGGTTGCTTGTAAAAGAGATTATAGCTATTGGCATGACATCAGTCTGCAGCCATTTATGAGCCTGAATTATGAGCAAAAGCTATGTAGGAAAGTGGAGGCAAACAAGTATGCCTATCCTCGTCTTCTTTCCACTGAGGTTGTGTAATTGGAGGTGGTGGCTCCCTCTAATCTCTCATGAGGGATAAAGGAAGCAGTTCTTCGTCCAGCTGATCATTCTCTCATGTGGATTTTAAGACTTCAATTGAGCTAATCACATCTTGGTTGTACCATCGTTAAGGCTTGGATCTTCCTAGTACCCTGAACTCGAAAAGATGGCTTTCTTTGTTGATGGGTTTTAGCACGTACGAGAGCTTCTGATCTTTTACTGCTGACAGCGAAAGACTTTGTTCTTCACCGAGTGGAAGGATGATCCTAAGTCGTAGTCCTTTGAAATCCATTTTCTCAGCAGATCTAGTATCAATGCATGAACAACTTAAAAGATCATATGCTGTGAAGACTGACAACAGCAGCAAAATTATGGTCCAATGACCATCATGATGTTTGCAGCATTGGAGGACAAATATGAACCTAAAGGCAAAAATCATGTGGAAGCTAAGGAGGAGGTGTAGACAGAGAAAGAAGGATAACAGAGCATAGCAGCAAGATTAATTCAGCACTGATGAATCCAACTACATCTAACTGGAATCTAGTATTAGATTTCTCTGCTCCTTACTGCTATCGAACCGCGAAGAACACACAGAGAGAACGTGACCTGGTAATTTCCCTGCAGCTTAAGTTTTGCTTTTGTAGATCAAGTATACACCGGAGTCTATAACCCCATCTCCTTGCAAAGGTTATCAAAGTGTCATATTAACTTCACCATTTCACCTTGGACAGGAATACTCATCCTTCATCCATCTTTCTCCCAAAATCTATCATCTTTCTCTTTGAATTAATGGTGATATTTATATTCTATGCTTGCTTAATCCGTGCATTTATTTGTAGGTGTGGTGGCTTTCCCTTTCTCTTGATGCACCTTTCAACCCCTCATGAACCTCCACCGATCAAATACATGCAGGTTCTTCTCCATTTAAACAAAATTCATGAGTGATATTATTCTAGAAACATATGTGAACTCTAATAATCAAATTGAGAATAGAAATATCAATAGGATAATGCCACAACGAACAATTCTTTCCATCCATTCCCTATTTAGATGGATAAGGGCATGGATGTAAAATCTCCATTAAGGGCAAACAACCAACTTGTTCTCTATATTCACCTAATAAATTTATTCTATTTTTAAATAAAATTATTATCAAAATTAATTAATAATATCAAAATATATATAAAATTAAATAAAGATTAATTTAGTGGTTAATGTTAGAATATTGAAGTTATAAATATTAGAGTTATATTGTATTGGATGAATTGTCGAAAAAAACTTTTATTTTTTTAATTTTCCATAGAACACTCTTATTTTGAAAAAAAAAAATTAAATAATTAATTTACCTCTATCTGTCGCCGTCGTCCTCCTGTCGCTTGGTTGGTCTGAGGAAACCTTGTGCACTGTGTTCTCATTAACTAGTTAAATGTAAGTATAACAAGACAAGACAGAATGAGAATGGCTCAACCAGCAAAAGGCATTTGCTCAAAAGGAAATGAGTTCTTTTCGAGTGCTTGTACACGCCAAATCTATAGACCTCATAAATAAACCCCATAAACATAACTTTTCTTATTAAAGATATAAGTAACATCAACACCAAGCCAAATAACTCGTAACATCTTTCATGGATGCTAAAGTAACCAAAAGAATAATGAGTCCATTATCTCACTTAGTGGTAGCCAACATCCTCTTTTGGAGTAGGATAAGTAGTTGGAGGGGAGAACTCGTTTACTTAACTACTAACAATCTAATGCTAATGAGATCTACATATAATCCATGTCGACACTGCATTTGCCAATCATCTAAAGGCTGTCGAGTTGTCAATGTCTCTCCCTCTCTCTAAAAGCCACAGGAATTCTCCTTTCTCTTCCATACTTTTTCCTCTCTTCATTCTGTCTCTATCTACCAAAGGACAAGCAAGCAAGCACAGGTTGGAGTGCAACTCCGCCTCTTCCCACTAAGGTTGGTGGGAATGGACGGTGACAAGAATGGTTTCATATGAAGACCGAGGAGGCAGGTGTCATTTCCTGGTTCACCTCGGAGTGCAGGAGAATGAGGGTGTAAAGGTCATGCTTGGTGGGTTGTGTTAGATGAAGGGAAGGGCCATGTAGGGGGTTTGTCAAAGAGGTCTGCTGCTCTTGGAGGACTGCGTTGGCAAACACTAGAGAGTGGTGGAGAACCAAAAAGGTTGTACTGTGTTTGGCTTATGCACTTTGTTGGAGACTCTTTCTCTCTCTTAGGAGACATTCACTATTGACTACCTGAGAATCTATACACACAAAAGTGTGATGTAGTATTTTCTTTAAATTTTATTATTCCTGTAAAATAAGAAAAAAGGATTTTCTTCATGAAGATAGAGGTAGTGGATCCAATAATCACATAAATTATCTGTTCACTATCTTTTAAATTTATTTTATTTTTTGTTATAAGAAATTCTTTACCACAATACCACAATCAAAAAGATCATTTGAGATAGAAAGATGAATGTCTTGTCTGCATTATATAATATACAACAACATGAGTTGACTTATTCTAACCATAAATAATAATGCATGGTAATATTTGAATATGCTGACTAATTTAAATCCTGTCTTCGTTATTGACAAAGCTTCCTCATCCTATCCCGTTGGCACCATTTAAGTTATCATGGGCTATAAATAAGAGAGTTAAGGCCCAAGTCGTAGCCCATAAACCCATCGCATCCAAAAAGAAAAAGAAATAAATAAAAAAAAGAAAACATGAAGGAAGGAAATGGCGGTCTTCCACCGACGCCATAATAGTCGAACGGCCAAATCCACAGTGCACCCCATCTCCCCTCCTCTTCCCCCTTCTCACGCTTTCTCCTTTGTTCCCTCGTGGAACCCCAGGAGCCTCCGCTAGGGTTTCTATCCCCACCGCTCGATCCCTCCTAAACCCTAGCTCGATCGCCGCCTCAACCCGATCACATGAAGCGCGCCTTCGACGAGATATCCGACGACGAGTGGGAGCGCCACACTTTCAGGCCCTCGAGAGTCCTCAAGAGAACGAAGACCCCCTCGCCTCCCCCCATCGAATCCTTTGCTTATCGTCCCAAAGCCCTTGGCGGCTACTCCAGTTCCAACGCCACCGGATCCTTCGAGAGCCCCGTCAATTTGGACGACGACGATGAGGAAGAAAACGCGGAGCTGAAGGTGGTGCGGCCGCCGCAGGGCGGTGGACGGGGCCGGCGGTTCGTAGTGGATGAAGATAGTGAGGCGGGGAACGCAGTGGAGGTATTAGAAGTCCGGTCTACTACGGTTGATGACGAGGAGATTTCTTGGACGGACGAGGATGACGTAGAGGCCTTGTCGGAGGAGGCAGTGGTTACGGCTGAGGAAGAGGAGGTAGAAGAGGTGGATGTTGTCGGCAAAGCTCTGCAGAAGTGTGCAAAGATATCGTTGGCACTGAGACGGGAGCTGTATGGTTCGTCGGTTTCCAATTGCGATAGATATGCCGAGGTTGAAGCTTTCTCCAGCAGGATTGTCACTCAGGTACTTGTTCTACTATTCTGTTGATTAAAAATTCAAGTGGTATTGTTTTAGCAGCCTTTACTTTATAATTTACTCGTGTTAATATGTTCCTTTTGGATGGTGTCATGTTTTTAGGAAGATATAGACGCTGTATTTTTTGATGAAGAATCGGACTTTGAGCCAATTTTGAAGCCTTATCAGCTTGTTGGTGTAAATTTTCTTCTACTGTTGTACAGGAAAAATATTGGTGGAGGTAAATTATTTTATACTGGAATCCATTCGATTTAATTCCTCTTGAGAGATAGTGCTTCAAAGAACTATCTTGATAAGAATTTTTTTTATGTGATTTGAACTTTTATATCTATTTTTAGAGGAGAGTATGGACATTCTTTGTATTTAACCTGAATCAGCAGGTTTATGGATAGGATTGGTGTACTATTTTTAATGCATTGTAGAGTTTCTGACAATTTACTTTTAGTTAGAATGAGTATCTTTCAGCAATATATCCATAGATGTTTGTTAGGGGGAGAGAGAGAGAGAGAGAGAGAGAGAGAGAGAGAGAGAGAGACTCAATGATACTTCAGCTTTGTGATTCTCTGTTTGACTTTTGGGAGCTTCATGATGCTCACGCTAGAGTTCTTTTAAATGATAGAGAGAATCTGGACTTGTAACTTTCAGATTCGACAGAGAACTTTTAGATTATTCCTTAGGAATAAAGTTATTTGAGACAGTCAAGCACGGTTTAAAGTTCAAGGATTAAACTTGGTTTTAGCTTGATTATCAGAAAGATTCATACCATGCATTATGAAGCAAATAAATTGAGATGCATATCCATGGTCTTGGATGGTCCAATACTAATCATAATTAAATTATTTGAAGAAGCCTCTAGTAGTGTATATGGTGCACAACAGGCATATACCATAATTGATCTTTCACTTTTCCTGCTTTGTCTAGAGCTTTTTGAAGTGGTCATTCATTGGCTGATTACACTTATTTGAAGTTGTTATAAAAAATAATTCAAGTTTCTTGCTAAGTCATCAAAGATTGCCTTGATAATGGTGACCCGAGAAGTTATTACTTTGCTGTTAAAAAAAAAAAAGCTGAAACTTTTTACCTTTGTCATGTTCTTCATGTTCCCATTGCTCAATCTTCATTTCACCATATATCAATGATCCATAGGGAATGATCTTGTTGATTGGCATGGCCATATCATTGAAACTTGGCAGGTAGCTAGAGTATGCCGATCATTCCCATGGTGCTTGATGACATCTGATGGTGGATTACAGCTTAAAACCTGGGGTCGTGTAAAAGTTATAGCATTGTCTACTAATTTTCTCTCCACACAAAAGAGTAGTAGCCATTGCCGATGATAGGCACAGAAATGAAACAAAAAGAGCAGACATAAGAGGAAGTGAGTTTTTCTTTTTTTTTTCTTTTTGTTTCTCCTTTTTGTTGGGGATCAACTACATCACTTGAAGTCCATAGTCATTTTTGTTTGGTACAAATATTTTGTTGGTTGCCATATACCTAGCCCAAGCTCCCTTCCTTTGAGACTGGATTTGGCAAGGAAAATATAACGTTGCTTGTACAGAATGAGAGTCTAATGGTGTTTACAGATTTATTCCTTAATGATCCAATAGTTATCCTTTTGCCCATCTTCAGACCTGACACACTAACTGCTGCAATCAGTTTTTTCTGAATGTGGAAAACTTGCTACACTTTGTTTAGACAAAGTGAAGTGACGAGTGTTGGAAATGGACTGTGACAAGAAAGAAATGGAAAAAAAGAAATATAATAGACTAGCAGTTGATTTTTTGTGATGACCTTGTTCTCTAGCTTTTGCTGGTGACAAATGATGTGTGTTTTGAGTGGTGGCATATTTGGTGTGGTCAGAAGTTTTTGGAGAGTTGGAACATCAACAACAAAAGGGTCTTTCTGCTAGTTCTAATAGTTTCCTTTTCCCACTTTCCAGCACTATATTGCTTTATGAAGGATCCCATGTCCCAAGACCTGTTTGAAGACTATATAGAAGGCCCCCTTATAGAACCTCTTTACATTTCTATCTTCTTCTTTTTTATCTCTACTATCTCCCTGTTTTATTTGGAGCATGAGCAGAAACCAATCTATAGCTTAAGTCAAGATTGAAACTTTTGACCATGGACAACTTACCTTCCCTTGCTTACTGTTATGCAAAATGTGAATATTGGATTGTCTATGGAGCTGAAAGAGGTGATGACATCATATGAGCACCTAATTGTCAAGCCTAAATATATTTATTTGCAAAAAGCAAGTGTTTCAAGACCTTTGATTGACGCATCCGTAGTTGTTGATAATATAAGCTTTATCTAGTTAGTTTGTGTTTGTCGTATTGATGGCAACAGTGGCAAGAATCCACACGATCCCATAGTTTTTTTCTAAATCATTTATTGGTTTATAAACATGACCTTTAGAATGTTAAGCTAGTTGTCCTTTGTGCTTCTACTTCTGAGCGGTTTTTAGTTGGCTGATTTTTTTTATTAGGTTCAAACTTTCTGATTTTTTTATTGGGTTCAAATTTTCTTTAAGTGTTGATTCCCATGACATGCATGTATGCCTTCTAACGAGTTTTCATGTGCAGCCATCTTGGCAGATGAGATGGGACTTGGTAAGACAGTGCAGGTAGGTTTAGCTTAGTGAAAGTTTGTTACTGCTTAATCATGAGCTGCTTATGTTTGTTTATTGATCTTTTCCATCTTACAGGCTGTAACATATCTAAACCTGCTGAAACACCTGGACAGGGACCCAGGTCCTCACCTGATTGTTTGCCCAGCTTCAGTTCTAGAGAACTGGGAAAGAGAACTGAAAAGGTGGTGTCCATCATTTTCTGTCATCTTATTTCATGGAAGCGGGAGAACAACTTACTCAAAGGAATTAAGCTCGTTTGGCAAGGCTGGCTTGCCTCCTCCTTTCAATGTTCTACTTGCATGCTACTCATTATTTGAACGTCACAGGTGTGTTAGTTGTAAATTTTTGTTTATTTTATCAATATATTACTGTTCAGAATCCATACGATAAGCTTAATAAATATCTTTCCTGTGTCTTCTTTCAGTGCTCAACAAAAAGATGACCGCAGGATATTGAAGCGATGGCAATGGAGCTGTGTGCTAATGGATGAAGCTCATGTTTTAAAGGATAGGAATAGCTACCGATGGAAAAACCTTATGTCCATTGCACAAAGTGCACGCCAACGCCTGATGTTAACTGGAACACCGCTTCAAAATGATTTGCATGTATGCTGTTTCGTTCCCTCTCCTTTTTTTCTTTTGTTCTTTAGTGATTAATCATTTGTGTGAGAGCTATTCCTTGATGATTTTGTAATAAGTTATTGGTTGATTTTTGTAGTTATTAGCAAACCTATTGCACTAACATGATTCGTACACAATATAGGATTCTTAAATTATTTCCTAACTGTATACATGTTGTGCCTGAAATATGCTATTCATAATCATAATTTATGGCACCATTAATGGTAGATTTTCTTGTGTTCTTAATATAGTGCACATGATCACTTCATACTTATAAATGGTAGACATATATGCTATTTTTTATGATCTTGGCAATGTTTGGCTAGACAAATTTTATTGGTGTGGGAGCTAGCCATCAATGAAGTGATATCCCACTACACCCTCGCTAGCCCTAATCCTGTGATGGCTGCACTGGCTCTTGTGGACGATCACATGACAGCCGGCGTGCGGACCCCTGACAGAATGTTTTAATTGCCTGCCCCCCACTTTCCTCACCTGCTGCTTTGCCACGGGACAGCCTGCTTTCCCCTTGATAGTCAGTAGTCTGTCAGCTCCTACCACACACACCCTGACAGCCTATTCTCAGCCCTCCATCCAGCTTTGACAGCACCCCTCTCCAGCATAACCTCCTCTTCACCAAGCATCTTTCTTTGCCCCTATTCACCTTGTTGCCTTTGGACTTAGCCGGACCCCATTGCCCTTCTCCCCCACTAAACCTCTCCTCGCTATCACCGCAGCACTCCACTAGTATACCTTGCTCTTGCTTTTTGAACTCACATTTAATTCTTGTTAATAATAGTTGTCTTATTAATAATAGTCTTCTATTGTTAATAAAAATTTTTAATTGTGTTGATTACTAAATTTTCACTGCAGTTATAGGATCTTAAGTCATGGTAGCCATATGTAATAACTCACATTTTATTTTAATGATTGCCTTTATCTTTAGTGATTATCACTATCTTAATTTTTATTTTAATTATATTTTTTATAATTTCATATTGGTAAGCGTCTCACTTTGCTCGGCTGAGTGCCTAGCGCCGTGACTGTTTTAGGACCTTGGCACTTAGCATCTTTGACAATATTGAAAGCTATTAAAATTTGGAAATGTGCATGGCATCTTTTCATGGATGGGAGGGCTTATCAAAAGGTGCTTCAGTTCTTGCCTTGACACTAGGAACTTTGGAAGTAACCATAAGCTAAATGTTGTGTTCCACTAATGTGAGATATTTATGTTTATACCTACTGCCTCTGTTGAGAGGCATGCACATTAGTCTCTTATCCTTCCACGGCCAGTGGCAAGTGATGGACGGTACCTATATATATTTGTGGAATTCACGCCATATGCTAATTTTTAACTTGTTACATTAGCTGAACTGCTGAAGTATAGTTAATGTTTGCATTTGTTCATCAAGGTTTGTTGTCCATTAAAAATGTAATGTGAGGTATATAACACAGGAAAATTGCAAAATACCTGGACAATTTTCTCATTATATAACAGCAATATGAGAAATTATTTTTAATAAAGTTTTCTAAGTCTCTCTTCATCTCTTCTTGCATCATTTAGACTTCATTTAGCTGGGGCATATATATGTCTTTCTTTGACACGCTCGTATTTCTATATTTTATCTAATTTTCTTATTTGTATGATTTACTTCAGCTCTTTTTCATCCTATTTATCAAGAGCTGAAGCCTTATCTTTTGCTTTAAACAGCATGCTTTTCTCCCACCTGGACTATCTGTACCTAACTTTATGTTGACTTGTGAATGTTGTAATGATTCTTTCTTATATTTTACAAATTAATCATATAATTCACAAATTTTGCTCCTGTTTATTTTTGGAACTAAATGCTTTTAGGTTTGCTTATGTTCTGTGGTTAGCGCTGATATAATTGATGTGATGATAACATGTATTATGGTGCCTATCTGTACCTCAATATGTAAACCTTGTACCTATCATGATGATACCTCACCAGCAAGCAGCAACCCATTACATGGTCAGATAGCCATGTTTTGTGCAGCATGTTACACCACATGCCCTGGTATGTTCCATGTTGCTAGTTGCTTAACACATTACACAGGCACCTGGTACCTTTATTTTTTAATTTGCTATACTTGTTTTTTTTATCACTATTGTTTGTATAATGTATAACTAATTGCTTGGTGTTTTGTGTTTCTGATGTATTGATTAGTATGTTAAAATTGTCACCGTCAATGTCCAGCAGAATTTTTACAAAATGTTAAATGATATATGCAGGAGTTGTGGTCATTGTTGGAATTCATGATGCCCGATATTTTTGCCACTGGGGATGTTGACCTGAAAAAGCTATTGAACGCAGAAGATAGTGATTTGATTCCACGTATAAAATCGATTTTAGGGCCATTCATCTTAAGGCGCTTGAAGTCAGATGTTATGCAGCAACTTGTTCCAAAGATACAACATGTAAGCCTTTAGATTGATTTGAATTGAATTTGATCATTTGTATTTTCTGGAAGTTAACTTAGCTGATGAAGACATATCATGTCCTTTCATTCATGGCCAACATAACTCTAGCATATTTTACTATAACCTTCATAGGTTCAGTATGTTTACATGGGTTCAGAACAATCAATGGCATATGCCAAAGCCATAAATGAGTACCGTGCAGCTTCTGAGGCTCGTGTTTTGAAGTCTACCACATGCAAATCTGGTGGTGTTGGTGGTCTCCTCCCCAAACGCCAGATTTCCAACTATTTTATGCAGTTCCGGAAGGTGTTTAAATTTTCTTTGAAATTTACTTTCATTCTCATTTTTGTTGCTGTTCTGAATCTGATGGATGGCATTCTTATGTCAGATAGCAAATCATCCCTTATTAGTTAGACAAATATACAGTGATGAAGATGTTGTTTGTGTTGCTAAAGTGTTGTATCCAAAGGGTGTATTTGGATTTGAATGTAGCATACAAAGAGCCATTCAAGAGATCAAGAGTTATAATGATTTTGAAATACACCGGGTAACTATTTTTTCCAGTACTTATCTGCTCCTACTTTCTATGGCATCCATAATCAGTTGTTTTAGGACAGTAGTAGATTTTATATTTATTCTGCAATAACTTTTATCTTTGACTGCTTTTTATCAAATGTCTACTACATTTGAAGTTGAGTTTCATTCCCAATATTGCATAAGTTGAAAAAGAACCATTATATCCCTATGTGATGCCATTATTTCCTGAATACCAAGGCAGAACTTCCATAGCAAACATGCTATGCTCCACAATGTTCATTAGAAAATTGGCTAAAATGGCTTTGTGTCAAATGTAATGAATATGCCTTAGGATCTCATTTTCATGCATGCTTCAACTTTATAAATAATCAGATGTAATTTTGGGATGCCATTTAATGTTATTTACAGATTGATCATTGATAATTCTTGAAGATGCATCCAGTAGGGATGTCAACTAGTGTATTAATTTTAATTCTTGTTCTTATAATTGATTTATGTTTGCTATTACTGTACTTGTTCTTATTTCTTTGCCATGCTGTTGTTGTTATGGGTCCTATAAAGTGGTGATGGTATGAGTTGCTTTTGTTCATTCAGTGAGGAAGCATCTACTTCAGCGTTTACAATATTTAAGATTTTCAGAGACCATTATGTTAATATGATAATTGTTAATGCATCTAGCCTGCTTTTTACCAAGTTTTGGAACCATAGAACCAGTGGTTATTATTTGGAACACAAGCATGCCATATATTGTGCCATCCTTTGGCTTGAGTCTGGATTAGCTAGATGTTTAAAACCTTTCGGTTGACAGTTGCTTAATACACAAACATGGAAAAAGCTATGAATACACTTCATTGAAGACAAAAAGAAGTATTTTATTATCTTATGCATTTCAAAAAATTAACTGCTCAAGTCTAAAAAGAGACTTCGTTCCTACCATGTAAGGTAAAGAGGGAACCAGGGAAACTACATGCAAAGAACTATACATTAGGTGTTTATAGAGTTAAGATGCAAGCTTGGTTTGATTTTTGGTTTGGACTGAGTCAAGTTGGCGTCCATATGAGTTTAATCCTTTTTCTTTTTTAACACTGCCACACCACCTCACTTTGCAACAGAAGCGAATTTGATGTAACCTAGTCCAACTAAGAAGGATTCAGATTGACGGTGGTTCATTTTCGATGTTCTAGGCTGAGTAAAATTTAATGAAGCATGAGCATCTTGCTACTATTTTCAGTTTGTCTCCAGCTATAAACTTTAGTTGGTTGTTATCTTGCTACCTTAAGAAATTCTAAAAAATTTATGAGTCCAATTTTTAGTAGGTGTTGATGTCTAGATATAATTCAATGAATGTGAGTAGTTTCAATAATTTTAGGTTCTAATGTGAAATTTTATTGTGAATAAGGTCTTTTTGCCCAGCTAGTCCATATTTTCTCTCTTCAATCTTCTTCACTTTCTTATTTTACTTCTTGCATTTTATGCATTTTTCCTGCATGTTGTTATTTTCTTCTCATCCTTTCAAGCTCACATATTTTGTTCTTAGACCTTTAGTCTTGCATCTAGCTGTTTCCTTTAATTGTTTTGTTGAGTAACACATATTATTAAATCTGGAAATTAGAGGGTTAGGAGCACACCAAGCAATTCTGATATTTGCAATTTGCATCAAATTTGACTTTACAAAGCCATAACAATACTAAACATGTATGTTTTTAGTATTTTACATGAAAATACTGAATTAATGTGAGCAGTCATGGTTTGTGCAAACTATATATGCATGAAGAACTCTCAAACTCTGCGCACGAATTGGACGTAATCTAGCATCGTTCAACTTTTGTCATTAGTCATTGTCTATAGCCTGATTTGTTGATGCACTATTAGTGTAGGATTAAATATCAACGCTATTGATGTTGCTATACAAAGTCAACATTGATATTTTCTTTTATGGACAATATTAAAGTTGGTTGTGTCATGCATGACTATTTTCAAATGAATTCTTTCAGAATGAGAAAATGGTTATCTAAAATGAGCAGTTGCATGAATGTCTTTTCACATCTCTCTCACCGTTTCTGCAGCTTTTGATTTCATATGGTAACAATGGTACGAAGGGTGCTTTAACAGATGAACATGTCCTGGCTTCAGCAAAGTGTCAGGTAACTTTTCCTTCTGTTCATCTTGAAATTAAGGTGATTGCACTATGTCATGCTAATTTTAGTTACTGTGATATCTTATAAAAACTGTGAAGGGTGTTCATTATCTTTCACATATTGGTGAAACAAAACCAATGTGTTGTGCCATCGTGAACAATGATAATCAAATGCATTTGCTTATCTGAGTTTGATGTATTTTGTCAGGCTTTGGCCGAACTTTTACCTCTTCTGAAAAAGGATGGACACAGAGTCCTGATATTTAGCCAGTGGACCACGATGCTTGATATATTAGAATGGACATTGGAAGTCATAGGTGTCACATACAGACGCTTGGATGGAAGGTGCAGTGGTTTGTGCTATTCGTATTATCTAGTTTTTAACTTTGTGGTTTTCTTAGCTTTTAGTGACTGCTTGTTTCAGTACTCAAGTGCTAGAAAGACAAACTATAGTGGACACCTTCAACAATGATCCATCTATCTTTGCATGCTTGCTCTCAACAAGAGCTGGAGGACAGGGGCTTAACTTGATTGGAGCTGACACAGTCATCATCCATGATATGGATTTTAATCCACAAATGGACCGGCAAGCTGAAGATCGTTGTCATCGTATCGGCCAAGATAAACCGGTTACTATTTACAGGTATGGTTTAAGTTATTAGTGATGATGAATATTATATGGAGGCTATGGATTTGGAAGCACATGATACTGAGAATTATAATAAAGCAGCTTCATGTTTTCAATTGTAAGAATCACGGAGTTAAAGTTAACCAAACAAGCTTGAAACGAAGAGTGAGCTGAGCAGTGGCTGTGCCATTAGCGCTGGAGACAAGCTCTATCCTCCTATAGTGATGGAGACAAGTCTATCTGATGTATTTTTATTTGGAATCATTGAACTTACTGTGGCCTCCAAAACTTACATTTATGCTTCTTGCTGTTCTGCTCCACAAAATAATTTGGAGAATTTCTTAGGCCCATAAACTTCTGATCAAGGATTTGATAGAACAGACAAAATATGGTTGCCAAGTTGCTAGTAGAAATGTCAGTTTATTCTTAATGGTTTTTCCAGCATTGCATGTGTCCCCAGTTTGCCATTATGCACTCGAAAATACTTTGCAGGTTTGTAACCAAGGATACTGTTGACGAGAACATATATGGGATTGCAAGGCGGAAGCTGGTCTTGGATGCTGCAGTGCTCGAATCTGGAGCTGAACTGGACAATGAAAACGATGTACCAGAGAAGACTATGGGAGAAATTTTGTCTGCACTTCTCCTGTGAAGTGACTCACATATGAGCAGAATCCAATCCGAGTGTGGTTCCTGCTATGTTAAGGCTAATTCACAGTTAGTAGCTGATCCATCCTTCTGACAGTTGGAAGGCACACCACCATGATGTAGGTTCCTACTATCCTATCACTCAAACTTCTATTAATTTATTAGTGATTGCTTTTACAAGATGAAGAGGATTCCTGGTGCCTAATGAATAACTGGTCGGGAAAGACTTTATTTTTCAAAAATTTCTTGCATATTGAGATCAATATATATTATTAGAATTGTAGTAGAGTATACAGATCCTACTGGAGTAGAGGGTGATCTCTATATGATTTTTTTTTCTTGGTGAACGAGAGTCCTGTCTTTTTTTTTTTCCTTGAGATCCCCTGTAACATTGATATTTTGTTCCCATTATTGCAATGTATGGTTGGGAAATGTAGACATACGCACTCGTCTACAAGGATAGTTGACTCTTGATTAGATACAGTTGGAAATGTTCTACAAATAATTTCTGATCAGACAATTGGAGACTGTTCAGTTTCGGTGTTTTGCTAATACCTTCAATAAGACCCGAAGGCTCATCCTCTAAGGTGGAGCTCATTTATCTGTAATAATTTGATATCTATGATGCTCACAAATATCCAAATATTTATTTAAAAGAACCATGTGTTTGAAGATGTACTCATATCAACTGTGTATGGAGTTGTGATTGTAAAGTATCCCATGCTATATATTTCTTAGGCCATGTTGGCAAAATGATCTGCATCTGTACGTGTTGGATTCATCTTTTTTTGCATCCGCAGATGATCAGCGTGATTTTTGTGTCCAGATGCCAAACATGGCAGAAGCATGGGAAATCCTATAGTTGGTATGAATATTATTTGATGTTGCTCATCCGTTCTTATTGACTATGGTCAAAACGACCCAGCAAGCGGGTTTGTGTTACTAAACATCTGATGCTATTATAAAAGGTAAGGATATTTGATGTAGTAGGCAGACTTATTATGTTAGCCAAGGTTTTCTTTTTACCCTATAGAAAAGAATTAGATCGTCAGCACGAGTGATTTGGATGATTGATTGTGCTTTGATACTTAATCAGCCTGTACTCTGACCCAACCTTAGTCTGAAGGGAGAGAACAGAACAGCACCACAGGGAGGACACCAAGATCAATCATCTGTTTTTTTAATCGACCTTTCCTTTAGATGTGTTACAGAGGAGAGAGGCCAGCGACGGGGGGCAATTTCCTGTGAACCAGAAGTCGCCATGATTGTCTTGTACGTGGTGGCGGTGAAGGATCCTGTTCAAAAGACTTCCCCCGTTTGCCCTCGGACGGAGATGACAGACAGAGGAGACACCATCATGATGATGGCGGAGAGGCGCTTTCGGTCCCATGCACGCATTTGCTACTTCTCGGTGGTGTCTCCGATGGCGCCTCCCTGCGCGATGTCATCAGGTCATCCTTCTCTCCCGCCGACCACCTCCTTAGGTGCCTGCACCCCCTATTCTCTCTCTCTCTCTCTCATCCTGTGTGTGCTTCTGAATCGATGGAGCCATCGATTCGTCTTTTGATCGTTCAACTCGAACAGCATGCAATGATATCGAGCTCTCTCTCTCTCTCTCTCTTTTCAGGGCGTGTTGATGATGGTCAGGTCCTTTTGCCCACCACTGCCAGTTCACGTGTGCTTCATCACCACAGTGTGTGGGGTAGGCAAAGGGCTACGCAGCTACAGTATATCCGATGTTTTGGCTGTCGTAGACTTCGAGCCAATGCATGCACAAAATGTGATTGATTATAGGCGACGTGGACGTAACTCTGACCATCTTGAATCAAAACGCACACATACATTCCTATTCTGTAAGAAGGATTTTGAGATGGGGATGATGACAATTGGCAACAGTTCTGCCATCTCTGAAATATTGGTAACATACTGATGTTGTTCCCAAACCTGAAGTGATAGCTTTTCTATTCCCTTCAAATTTGATAATGCCACATTAATTTCGTGTCAATTATAGAGTTGGAGAGACCGAATCATTCTCTCTGTTCCGACGCAGAGCTTACTCGTGATCAACTGTGTCCGAACCAATGGTGATGTGCGGTAGATAGGACGTATTCAACGGTAATGAAGGATCCATACATGAACTTGGAGAGACATACGCATGTGTACGTGGTACGACTACTCGACAGCTTCACGTCGTCTATGTCAGTGCATCCATTCGAGTAACGCAGAGAAAGCTACACAAAATATGACAGGAAGTGGGCTCACAGAGAGCACCAGAAGTAGGAGGCACAAATTGAGGAGCGAGTCAAGCACATACAGAGGCCATTGAATGCCATGTTTGGACTCTTCCCATGCACTCCACCTGTTTGTTGTTTTGTCTGTCTATGAAACCTTTTCCCGGGAGGACAGCAAATAATTATTCACATATTTGGATCGCTCTGCCGTCCTCTCCACCATCATTCCATCTGCAGCAACTCCCATCATTCCTCTGCCACCCCACCCCTTCCCACTCTCTATATGGTGACAGGATGAGCTTAAACAATTAGAAGAAAATAGTCGTTTTTAGCTTGGAGTTGGAAATGGTATTTAGCGGAAAGCACAAAAAGCAAGCAGGTAATGTGTAAACGGGACTACATCAATTCAAGTCAGAATTCTTTCTTCTTCTCTATAATCCTTCAAGGGAGGTGATTGGGAGCTGAGGGTTGGTCTGGGTTACCAGAATGGTGATGGGATAACAACTCCTAGTTTCAGGCACAAAACTGGCCTGTCATTCCAAGCTGTAGACTTGTTTGTGTAGCTGCAAAGTAGGTATTATAGGATCTCAAAAGAGAAACTTGGGGTGGTACTGTAGTCCTGCAAAGCTTCTCCATGGTCGACTAGGCTTGTGGGCAGTAAGCAAGACAAGAAAGTGGATTATTTGCTCCTAATTGTTCATGAGTTTCACCTCCCATTGCTTGATCTTCAAAGGGATTGATTGTAAGTACGGAGGACCAAGCAAATATTCTTTTACTAAAACCTTCCAATTCTTCTATCTTCTCCTACATAGACATGATGTTTCTTTGGAATAGCTTGAAATCTATAACCTGTGTGTGCATATTTTATAATTCAAGAAAATTTGACACAATCAGTGTTCCTTTTTACAGTCACCCTGTCTGTCTCAGGGACAATTAAGAGACAGAGATGAACTAATATTCCTTTTAAATGATTTGCTGAGATGAACAGCCTAAATTCCTTGATCTCTGGATCTGTATTCAAAGCTCAGATGTCATAATACTAGGTGATATGAAAAAGACAGCTTCCTTTATGCATGATACTGCTGCATTTGATTTGCTAGTAGGTTCAGAAACTTATCAATCATGGGATCTCAACCCAAAAATTCTTTTATAATGTACAAAAAAAGCTATATATATATATATATCAGCTCTGGAACAAACCTGTCCTCTCCTCCATCGTAACAGTTTATGCTAGCAAATGAGAGGTAGCAGTACTGTCATCTAGTTGTAGCTGAAGTTAGTCCAACTCTTTATTATTATTATGCTAGCTTACTTTTTCTCCTCTGCTTCCCACTGTCAGCCATGAAGACCCACAAGGTGAAGGGACCCTCAACATGTTCCACCATCCCTTTATTAGGTCTGCCAAATCCTGCATGCGACAGGAGGAATTCAGAACTAGGCAGAGACTGATAGCCTTTGAAGTTTTCGATGTTATATAACAAGCGCTCCTTTGGAAACTTGTCTCCACAGCCCCTCTCCTGTGTATCTCAGCTCTACTGCAGGAAGTCTCTGTCCTACATCACAGGGTTGGCACTGATGTTGATAGATTTGAGAAGGCCAAATCTCACTGGGAATAAGAATATTAATTGTTTGTATAATGTGGACCGAAGACTGTTCATTCGGTCTCATGCATACTGCACCACATAGTTGACCATGTGACGGGAAAGGAGGAGAAAAACATTGATGAGAGAAGAAAGAAAGATAGGACAATGATGGATAGAATGGTGTAAACATACCACGCTGTGTTTGCAACAGGAAGGAGAGAGAGGGTGAAGTTTCTACCAGTAATACGGTAGCTCACAAAGAGCTAAAAAGGTGGTGGTGACACGCGAATTCTTTCAGCGTAGAGAGTCAAAAGCTGATCTGCCCAACTGTCATAATTTGGAGAAGGTGATGATATGCGAATTCTTTCTCGCTTTTCAGGTAGAGGGATGGAGTGTATGACAGTAAGGCCAGCATGAGGATTTTGTCTTCTCCCATCTCTCTCTCTCTCTCTCTCTCTCTCTCTCTCTCTCTCTCTTTGGTCATTAAATCCTGTTAACAAAGAACTGTTCTCGTGATCCGTGGCTTCCCATACTGAGTGTTGTGTTAATCCTCGACGGTCCCATCGATCTGTAGAGGTCCCATGTAGCACAGGCAGCTCAAAGGTGAAGACCTTTACATAAATCATTCTAGATAAAGAGAAATATTTGTGTTAGAAGGTGCAAGACAAAGAGAGCTCTTTTGATAGGAAGCCCCAGGTTGAGATAGGTGATCAGGACCATCAAGTCACCAAACACTTCTGTTTGGTTCTTTCCTCTCAGTTTTTCTTGTATGAGACACCACTGTTGATCTCAATAGAAGCCTACAGCAGGGAAGAGAGAGATGGGAAACTGCAGAAGGAATGGAGCCGTGAGACAGTACATTAGATCGAAGGTTCCTCGGTTGAAATGGACGCCTGAGCTCCACCAATGCTTCGTTCATGCCATAGAAAGGCTTGGAGGCCAAGACAGTATGTATCTGCTTCTCCCTTATCTATCTACTTCCCGTATCATTGTTGCTTGGTTTCTGAGATGTAGAGTTTGCGCTGTCGTTCGTGTTATCTCGCACGCAGAGGCCACACCTAAGCTTGTGCTCCAGTTGATGAATACTAGTGGACTAACCATATCCCATGTCAAGAGTCATCTCCAGGTTTGTTTGCTTCTGCAGCTTCCTGTACACGATTGATTGTGACTTCATTCTTTTCTGTTTCTTCTTCTTCTTCTTTATGCCACTCACTGGTTTAATCAGATGTATAGAAGCACGAGGAATAACATGGGCAGGCAAGGTATGGAAATAGTTTTCTCCTTGTGATTTTTGTCTTAGTTCATCTCATTTCGTGTATGTGTGACAAGAAACAAGGAACTACTCGTGAGGGCGTCGTAGCAGTTCTGCATGAGTCCATGAAACAAGAAAGGCATGGTTTCCATTCAGCTACGATATTTGTAGCACTCGTTGCTTCCCATCTCTTTGTAATCTGTTTGCAGAGATATTGGAGGAGCATAAATCATCAAAAAGATGCGAATTAAGCAAAGCGAACCTTTTCTTGCTCAATTTAAGCTTCCCATCCTTTTATGACTATCTGTTATTTTCTGTCACTAAGAACTGCAAGCAACAACTTCACCTTCTTTTGCCTCTTCAGTTCCATAGGTTTCATTGCGTTGACTGTTTCATTTGTTAAGACGAAAGAAAGATGTCATCTAAAGGAGGCTATAATTCCTGTTCTTCTCTCCTCGTCATCAGCAGAGTTCCATGGAAGAAAGCATTCATGCCAAGGCAATGATGAAGGTGCTGATGAGCAAGATGATCTTGGTTCTACCCAAGCTTGTGACCCAACTGAGGAGTTCCAGTATCAACCGATGTACTCTTCTCTTCCCCTTCTGAAAAGGTTGGTAAGCTACTAGCTTTATCTCCAGCTAATGCAGTATCAGTCATAGGGCAGCATATAAAGACTTCATCCGAGACTCTTCTCTTTACCTTTTGCTGATCCTTTGCCCATTCTTTTGTTCATTATATTAACAGGGCTAGGTTGGATGCACAACCCAACTCCAAAAGTGGGCAATGCAGTCAGCAAATCTGTGAGACAGTCACCTCCCAGTACTGGATTGGTAATTGCATGCAAACCTTAGCTGTGGATAGGGGAATAAAGGAGGAGGGTATCAGCTGGCAAAGGGATGCTCTGCAGACTGAGGACATGGCAGCTGATCACCCTACCAAGCTCAAAGTTCTTGGATACATGGTGGAAGAATCTGACCCTTTTAAGGTAAATGAGAAAAGTGAGAAAGCCTTTTGCACCCTGCTGATCTTCTCACCTGCAAAGCTTCTCTGTCTTCCTTCCTTAAATGTCAGCTTTATTTCTCTTCTAGTTATCTATTGATTGATCAACTGCCACAGGATTTCTTTCACCAAGTTGCTGTGGCAAAGATTGCAGGGATCATCATGCATGGCTAGTTTGTTCCTCATGTTTTTGTTGTCTATCTAGTGATTGGGAGCTAAACAATCCTCTTGCATCTACTATGTTAAACATTTATTTTTCTTTTCTTCACTCATCCACAAGGTAAAAATAAGACACAAAATTAGGTACAAGTGAATAATTAACTGCATCATATTGGCATATATGAAAAATGCAAGTATTGAATGGTCTTTATACATCTCTTGGTATGAAATTTGATACAAAGTAATGTGATGATTTACAGTGATGAGACATTGTTAATTTTCAAGAAGATCACTATTTCAATGTCTTAACCAGTGCAGATTATATAATGGTAATAGTCTGAGATTAAATCCTAATTAAAATAACAATGGCTACAATGAAAATGAAATGGATTTGCTTCTCATGTGCATACAAAGCATTAAAACAAAAGCTTCTTATTGCATTTTCAGAAGCTTTCTTTCTTTGCATGGCCTAAATCAGATCATTAAATCCTTTGACTTTGTTGTTAATCTTCATTGTTGAGTCAAAAAATAGCTTGTCGTCTACAGTGTAACATCATTCTCATCCTTGCAGACCACTGTACTGAATCGCCAGTGTCTCAGATCTACAGAAGAGTTCATGTTTACAGAGGTGTACGAGAATGGGCATCTGTCATACAAATCCCCATCGTTGAGCAATGAGTTCGTGGAGAGCAAGGAAACCAATGGTTGTTCTCTGTCACTGTCCTTGTCATTGCATCCATCTCAAAGGAACAACTCATCATCAAGTGAAGGAAGCTGTGCATTCTCTTCTTCCTCGGGGAGAAACTTCAATGATCACTCACATTATTCTGTCAGTCATAACAGAGCTAATCTGGAGCTCTCCATGTCGATCTGCGACTCTTGAATTGCATCACTTACATATCTTGTTCTTCAATTTCTATTTTTTACGAATCCTCTTCTTACATTGTTTCTTTTTCTATGGCTTGATTTACTGAGTTAAAATTGATAGGTTGCTGCAAGTTCTGATTTAGAGCGACTAAAGACTTATTTTGAAAGCCTTCGGTGACAAATTTCGAACTGATTCTGATGTATCTCTTCCATATTAGAACTCCCCAAGAAAAATCAGATGTGAGACGATCCACGGGGATAAGTGCCAAGTATTTACAAAAACTAGTCAAATAAAAAGATTACTTCTTGCAAGTGATTGTATGAAATGTATTTTAAATGCTTCTGTAAAAAGATGAAAAACCAGTGAACTTTGTCTTGATTCATTCCATCAACAGAGTTTAGTGGGTAAAACATTTGTTCTCTTCATCGAACTTGATGCAGGAGCCAACCATTATCCATACTGCAGGACCTGGTACCAGGGGAAAGATGAACAGATCCCAAGGTAGTGTGAGAAAGATGAAAGACCACTTGGAAGACCTGAAAGGGAATACTCTGTTTACAGCCAAGTCTTATCCTCAATCGTACAAGTGTTTCTGAGCAGTTGTTGGAAGTCACCAGGATTCATGAACATGTTATAGGTTAAAATTCTCATGGTAAGCACAAACAGTGGCCTTTTGATTGGAATAAAGGAAGATGTCAGGTGTCATATCACTGCTACTCGTGCCTTGTTCGTTCTCATCTGTCGAAGGGCAGACCTGCCATTTGAAAAGTCGCAAGAATAGAATACGAGAAAGGTCTTTGGTCCATTTCCTACTGAAGCCAGGCGACAACAAAGTACCCTTTTTTATTTGTAGCTTTTGCAGCAGAGAATTGCAGAAGAAGACACCCGAGTCATAAACGATCCATGTGGATCCCCTCAGACTCTACTGTTCTGCGAGCCACAGATACCTGAATCTCATCAATGCATATGCAATTAAAGTAGCAGTTTTCATATATAAATTCAAAGCTTCTTGATTCATCTATGCTTCCGCATATGTGCTAACTCATGTTCAAAGCTTCTTATGTCTATGTATAAGAAGCAGTAATGTAATTCACGATTGAAGAACATACCAAGCTTTCGACGCACTCAAACTGTTTCCTCCACTCTTGATGAGTTAGCATAAAGTAAACAAATATATATTCAAAACATTCATGACAAACAAAAGATCTATTTTATTTTAAGATAAAAACATATTCAAAATATCCAACATAATTAAAGCGTCTCTCTTGCATGTAAGACATCTGCTTGAGAAAAAAATATTGGAAATATTCAATGCGATCAAAGTGTTCTTCATGCATAATACATCCGTCATCCATGATAAAAAAAAAATACTGAAAGTGTCCAATGATTAAAATGTCTTACTGTGTTAACTCAAAACAAAAAAAGAATACGAAACATGATTGAGGCATCCCTTATTTGCAATACTTCTGTCTAATACAAAAAAAAAAAAAAAATCTAAAGTGCTCTACACAACTAAAGTATACCCTTTACATGAGATGTAATGATGTAGGAAAAACAAGAAACATCTAAAGTGATCGATATAATAAAGGTGTCTTCTCTATGATGCTTCTATCGAGACAAAAGAGTATATGAAGTATCTGTCATGATCAAATATATTTGTCAAAAATATATTACTTTTGCACCCGATGCTCCATTATATTAGAAAAGCTTCATGCTCAAATAAATCATCATGGAGTCCCTAATTTAGATGAGTGATGCGTGAACAGTGTTGATTAGCATAGAGTTTTTGAAGCTTCATCCATACTTCTAGTGAAGTTTCTACGGATGCCACCCAATGGACTGATTAGTTGGAAAGTGAAGCAAGAGTCGCATGATGAAGAGACGTGGAGAACCACGAACATACTTCTAGTTCATTGTAAGAGTATGATGATGATGAGTATATCCATGTTAATTTTAACTTAATTATTTTGATTAGTAATTTATGCCAAATTATCTTGATATACTTGTTATCCTATTAAGTCGGGTCATGATAATTGATGTTCGAAACATAATGAGGGGTTCAAATAGAAAATGAATATTCATGAACAAATCAAATGATATGTTATAATATAGAGCCATCACTAAGCCTACCTCACATGTATCATGCTTTGATTTGGGTTATATTAGACCTTAACAAATACACTGAATCCTTAAGCATAAGAGTTTATAATACTTTGATTAGTCGCATATATAAGAGTTTAATGGACATATTATTGTACATCAATTTAGACATTTTATTTGAGTTAAACTATATTGATATACTAATTATCCTATCAGATCATATGATAATATTAATCATAAATAATCTATTTTACTCGTATGCTTCGTAAGAAATATTACAATGTTATCGTAAAAACTAAGCAAGTTATAACCATGAACCAACACTAGGATAATTATGTTGTGTTAGCCTCAAATAAGATTGGGAGCAAGAAAACAATGATCTAAAACCAAGATAAATCATTTCTAGAAATAATTATGTTCATTTCTAATTAATTGTATTTCTTAAATATGTATAGTAATAACAAATGTGAACCCAGGATTTGAATTATTTTGTTAAATATTTTTATTTTAATCATTTCATTGCATAATCATCATTTCTAATACCTTCCATCATTATTTGTATAATATAATAATAATAATAATTTAAAAATAAACATAATCAATATGGTCTCTAAAAGTAATCACATTAATTCACCATGAATCATATTTCGGAAACATGGACGACAAAGATATATTTGAATCAAAGATTTGAATTGTTTCCTTACATATTTTTATTTAAATGTTTCCTAACTTCATTCTTAATATATTCCATTATTGTGGTGAAGGAAAATTAATTAACTTGATTGGTAAGAGTGATTATATAAATTTACAAGAATTACATTTTGTAAATAAAATTGACAAGAATATATATATATATATATATATATATATATATATATATATATATATATATATATATATATATATATATATATATATATATATATATATATATAT